AAGAGATAATGCAGCTAAGGTACATATTTAGTTGATGTTACTCTGGCTTATAAAAAGTGGAAAAAATATTACGGTGATGTAATAAAAGTTTCACTTTTATAATAAATCAAATCAGTGTCTGACTCAAGGTCTGCGTAAAAATTTAGAAAAAGCTATTAATACTTGCATTATTGATAATAAATCTTCATTAATCAAAGTTGAGTACGCGAAAGAGATGTTTGGATCGCGGCGCGGCAAGTGTAGTGGAGAGATTAGAGATCAACTGTCCTCGCCGTCTCCCCTTCGCTTGGTATATAAAGACCAATAAATATCTGACTAATTATTAATCAACAAAAGATTTGGAATGGAAATTTCTGTTATATTAAACTTTGCACTATAAAAGTTTGTTTTCATTTTTGTGATTAAATCATTGAATATCGTCAAACACATCCATGTGTGTGAAAGAAGTTCCTGTATCGGTCAAAGTATTTGTTTTTAATAGCGCCTTTATAATAATGTAAACTTGTATATGTCCAGGTATAATTACGATAAAGAAGGGGTCCTGTGCTAGTACTGCGCATGCGCGTCAGGAGGGTGAACCCACTGCCGGGATTACCGATAACCCGAGGGTACTCTCTACGCTCGTAAACGAATTATCGTAACTCCTCACAACTGTGAAGACCAAGAAAATATTATGACAAATTCGATTCTTCATCTTCGAACGAACTTATAGATTTCTTATTTACTGCCAAATAACTCGATTTATCCGGATTTCCCATCAATACGATCATTCGCAGTGCCGGTACCGCAATAAAAACTGAGTTGTATGAAATGCGAATAATTCACAGTTTGCCTAAGGGCCGGCTTATGAGATCGCTGGTATATAATCTTTTGTAAATTATATAATTTCGTCGTCTTTTCTTTTTCTTCTTTAACTTGCTGAAATATTTAAACAGTAGATAAATGATGTAGGCCTTTTCAATGTTCAAATACCTAATGAAATTATGAATGAACGAACCTATGTCTTCCCCTCTGGAGGTGATAAATATGAACTTTACCCTGAACATATGGACAACTTCCAAAAAGCATTGCAAACCCCATACTAAGGGCTTGTTTCACAATCGATAAGTTATGTTTTAAGTAAGCTACTTCGAACGTAAGGATTCCTTCAGACTACGCTTTTCCCTATACAGTATGGCGCGTATAGCAAGCCCATACAATATAGAATAGCGTGGTGTGAATGTATATGTTCTATGTAAATGTATGGTGAGAGAAGTGAAATCGTAAGTGGTGGTGCGTGGCAAGACGGAAATTATGACTAATGGTCCCTCGTCACTAAGAACCACTGCCTAATTAAGATAATATTATTTAGTAAATATCGGTAATTTCCCTGTCATGTTATTTTATTGTTACATTTATGGCCTAGCTGGCCTTGATCTCAGTTCTATCCTTAAAAACGCAATTTTAGCCTACACTAGAACCTAAGAGGTACCCTCTAAGCCACCACTGCGACTTCTGCTTATTGCCATGCGAAAAGACATGTACTTGATCACTATCGTAACCTAAATGATAATTCGTAATGTAAGACAAAATTACCTTTTTAACCGACTTCAAAAAAGGAGGAGGTTCTGTGTTCGACTTTTTTTTATGAATTTTCAGCGATTTCTCCGTCATTGTGGACCGATTTCCAAAATTCTTTTTTTATTCGAAATAGTGGACTTCCTATTGGAACCAAGTCAGGATGATGGTGGAATACGGGAAAATCTAGGGATACCTTCAAATTTCAAAGGCACGCACGATGTTATTTTATGCATGTTCACCGATTTCTCCGTCAATTGTGTTATTGTTTATTTGGACGATGTAATTTTCACTAAAATGGATGAAATATTTTTTTAAACAAAAAATAAAATCGACAATGTAACTAAAAAATATGCGGGGTATTGCATACACGCAGCGGCTGTACAGGTGGAAACCAAGGAGAAATGGGAGAATCTTGTCATTGAACTCAATTAGGCTTTGAATCACAATTCCGAATGGGTAACTAACAAGGTTGAGTTCAATGCTAAGAAAAGTCATGTTTGTGCTGTCACGCCAAATTCGTCGCCATTACTTCCCATTCCGTCTCTTCAGGGCACAATACTGGCGCTACAGAGCAACATTACCATGTTGGGCATGTAAGTTCACTCAGACTTAAATCCAAAGGACTACATTGAAACCGTGACCAAAGCAGCGTCAAGAAAACTCGGAGTCTTGAACAAGGTGCGGTTTTTTTCACTATCTACAGCTATTTTCGCGTCTGGACTTTACCACTACTCGACAGGTTGAGTAGTTTGCCTACCTAGCTATAAGAAAAACCATTCGCGGACGGAAGCTATTAATTTATATTTATATGTCTTTCAAAGGTAGCTCGACAAAATTAAATAAAAATTTGATTCCGACGACGTAGCCAGTAAAGGCTACGAAATGTCAATAAATAAATAAAATTTCGTGCATTAACCCGTAAAAAATCCAGTTTTATTTAATGAGTGATGTGCGTGAAAACCTAAGAAACAAATTATATTTATGGTTTACATTAATTCCCAACTGTGATGACTTTTTCTAACTTGTCTTTGAATTTTAGTTTGAATTTTGTGGATGTTTTTTATTGATTATTGTCATATATAAATAAATTTAATAATTTAACTTTTATTAATGATTCAGATTCATAATTTATTCTTAAGACAAGATCAAAGACAAAAGGAGCTAGATGGCACAGGTGGTTAGGTTAAGTTAAGCACATTTGGTCTGCAATCATGGAAGTTAATAACTTTCGCAAAGTCTGGTCATTCGATGGATGTCAAAAACTTAATATCTGAAGATTCTCTGTGCTCGGGAAAGCACCTTATGCCGTTAGTCCCAACTGCATCTGCAGTCGTTAGCATCCACCAATTCACACTGGGTCCAGGTGTTGGATCATGGTCCAATCTCCCTATTCCACCCATAGGGAAGGCCTGTACCCAGCAGTGAGGACGTTGATAGGCTGATGATGATGATGATTAATTTCTAGTTAATATAATTATGTAAAAATAGATTATAATAGCTGACAAATATGTTATACTGAAATTTCATACCCACTGTGCTGCATCACCTGTGTGCTGTGGTGGTAAAGTGTAGATACAAGCCTTTCCTCTTTCCATAGCATGAGCACCACAATTTAATTATATCACATTTTTTATCACATATAACTGTCAAACTCCATTGAATTTGACAACTGAGCATGATAAAAACGAGCTATATAACATAATCATAGTGCTCATACTAGGAGGGCTGGTGTCTGTCCCAAAGTTTTGAGTATGAATTTTAGTTTATAACCATTACAGGCTATCATAAAAAAAATGTGCACTTGGAAATTACAATGTGAAGTATCAGAACAGAGAAAAGAGAAAACAACAAGAGCAGTACTGCTAGACCAAAAAAACAAGCCAGAGGAGACCGCTAAGCAGAGGCAAGAGTGAATGGTCTCTTTGTCTGGCATATACAACCAAATTTAATCATATGTGAGATTTTTAACACAATCAATTTTCTACAAAAGTGAAGTTCGATATCACAGACAAAACAGCTGTCCTACAGGTGTCAGTAGCATGAGTGTCAATGTCAGAGATACAGCAACGCCCACCCAAAAACAAACACTACAGGTTATGAGTGTATATGTTTTTGCAATAGTTTTTATTTTATTTTATTTATTGGAAGTCTCTAAGTATTTGTAAGCTGTTTTTTAAACTAGAAATAAAGAAATAATTTCTCTACCTATATTATTAATAGTTTCTTAGTTCACAATATGTCACACTCTCTGTTGTATGGACTGAGTTCTGACATCATCATCAGTCTAGTAAAGTATTTGAATTTAGATGGTAATTTTTTTATAACTAAAATCACAGCAGTATTTTTATCAAATAGTTTAGTGGAGCTTATAGCTTCTACAGTAACACATAAATAGTGAGTTTGTTAAGAACATCATGTATCAAACATTTATAAATTCCATTAATTTATAAAGTTCAAAGGGCCTTAGGCAAGTCTTTACACTTGCGAGGTTTCTTTTAAGGCATGGTGTATCTGCATGATATATCTATATCTATGAAGTTATTGTTGGAATTTAGAAAAAATTAAGATATATTCTTTGTTGTGTTAATTTAATTCAGTAATTGATATCCAGTTATGAAGAGAAATGGTGGTAATGGTATTTCTTAAAAAACAAAATATATAATATATAAATAGGTACCATACATTAAATTTCAGTTGTCTTTATTATTTTCATAGCAATATCAAAAGAAAATTGTAAGCAGATGCCAAAATTTTCTGGTGATAATTCAACACTAGGATTTATTCCTTTGGGAAACTTGCTTTATTGCAGGGGAGTAGTTTTAATGTTCAAACAAACCACACCATGTATGGTCAACAGTAAATATTTTTTTTATGTGGGTTTAAGCACTTCTACAATATAGGTCTAAAACAATATTAAATTTTGTTAATTAACCCTTAGGAGAATTTGAAAAATGCTTATTAGTTATTAGGTCCATTTTCATACAAATGAGCAATGGTTTCAAACCTATTGGAATATTTACAACAATTTTATTTATGTATAAATTGAATAGGTATGTGTTGTTGTGTCATGTTCATAATGCAAATCCATTTTAAAGGCCCAGACAAACAATAGCAGTGTCTGGTCTTATAAAATGGGGGTTTTTTTATTGAAAGTACGTAAAAAAATCTAAATTGCAGTTTGTTCATCAAAAGTTACATACTATATAGATCACGAATTATTTTAGAAATAGTTTGTCTAACTCGAAACTAAAGAATACTATAGAACGAAACTTTATTAACAAATTATTGCGTTTATTCACAAGGTCCTAAACAAAGTGCAAAATCATTCCAGTATGTAATCTTTAGGTATTACTAATATGTATATACAACTACAAGATTTCAACAATGGAAATGGACGATAAAAGTGAATCATTTCTGACATTTAATTGTAAACTACTTACCAAAAATAGCTCGAGTCTCAACATAATAATCACTACTAAACATAAAGCATACACATTCTTGCGTATTTAGTAAATCAATAAGTTTGTTTTATAAATATAAAATCTTGTTTGTCCCGTCACAATTAATTACACATGAAAATATCAATGCCCGACGATGCAGGTAGATTGCACAAAGATACTTTTTCTTGGAATGCCTATTGTCAATAACATAATTGTTGTTAAAACCACACCTTTATTGCACACTTTAGAATATTGGAGATCGTCACAACTACTTTAAATTCGCAGTAATCGTCTATATTTATTTATTTTATCACAAAATAACACTGAAAACATCAGCGGTGAATGAACGATCAATGATCAAATAACTTTTGTCTATGATACGGGCTTTTTGACATAAAAGTGCATTTGACAGCGACGGTACGGCTATGGTAGGCGAGACTTCGGGTACAGCAAATTAATTAATCCCAACTTTAATATCTTTACGACTGTATTTCTATGGAAGTAGCACGTAGTTGAAATAGTTTTATACAAAATTGGATTTCCTCAATATACATTGCATGTTTAGCTTCGGCACTGAGCAGAGTCTATGAAAAACAGGACTTAGTGCTTTTAGCGATGAAACGCGTAGAGTGAGAAATAGAGATCAGAGGCCTTACAATCCTTTCTAAAAAGATGACCATAAAGCTGGCAATATATTTGTGTCGTGTTCTATCGCGCGTGACGCGTCAGATAGCTATCAGTATGTATTTAGTACGATTAGAGTGAGTACGGTGTCGACACATCACGACACGTAGTGACTCACAAATATTATTTGAGCTGTACTAAATATATGTAACGATACATCTCTAACGCATCATGATACAACACGACATTTAATTTTGGGAGTTCAAACAATTACACCTGCATTCTTATGAAAAACAAAGATCATATATTGGTGTCGATTCTGGCGTGATTCTCTAAACTTCAAACTAAATTTAACATCAGTCTTTCCCTTTCATTCTGTATAGAGAATGACAAAGATGCACTGTTGTAAAATTTAAGTTTAGCTTTAGAGAATCATGTCAGAATCGACACCATTATCAAATTCTATAGAAACTCTACGAGTTAATACGCACAGCTCTTGAGGTTTCTCATACAACGACTTGGCAACCTCTGAATAGTGCCATCTGTTGGCATGAGTTGATGATTTTGTTTGCTAGTTCCTTTCAATAGCGAGCAGGTATTAATTCAGCCAAATAAAACAACAGTCAAATTAAGAATGAGTAATTTTCTGTTTGTCTTAATTGTGTTTTTTTCCTTAAGCATCATTAATTTTATTTACATAAGCCTTAATTAACACATTGAAATACTTACCAAAAAACAATCTTATACAATCCTTACATATTAACATATTTTCTGTATTTCTTCTTATATTTCGACAAGAGACTACTCCTACTTTTTAGTCTCTTTTCATAAATCTGTATCATTTGGCGCAATTTCAAATTTTCCTCCAGTGGGCTGATAACAGTTAGTGTAAGAGAGGCTTCATTTTCCTTCTCTATCTCTGTATTTAATTTAATTTTCTTTGAACTACAACAACCAACATATTGAAAAAAATATTAGGTATAAGATTTACAGCAACATGTAGCTGGATGAGGATGGCAAGTAATCAGGCGGAATGGCGCAAGCATTGGAGGAGACCTACATTCAGTCAGCAGTAGATGGAATGTTGCTAAAAATATCACCTTGTTGCACATTCCACAAGACTATTTTCACATCGACTCTTTCTTTGGGTTCTTTAACATTACACAGATTCAAAGTTGGTTTTGAATTTGGTAGTAATCTGAAACAGAAAATATAGAATTAGAATTTATTTGATTTTTTTTAAGCATTTAACTGCTAGATGTTTAAATCTAAAGAAAAGTTTACTAGAAAAAAAATCCACGCGGACCCACATTGTGGGTTACCTACAATGCGAAGAGATGGCGCTGCCTTGCAGCTTAAGGCTAGGAAAATTTCGAATTCTAATAGGGCCGTGGTAGCATAATGGTCAGTGCATTCGCCCGGATAGCGAAGGATGCGGGTTCGAGTCCCGTCCGCTGCTGGTCCGCGTGGATTTGTTTCTAGTAAACTTTTCTTTAGAATTTATTTTTTTGCATTTGAATAGGGTACACTGGTGTCGATTCTAGCATGATTCTCTAAACCTAAACTTAAATTTGACAGCAGTATATCCTTGTCATTCTCTATACAGAATGAAAAGGAGAGACTGATCTTAAATTTAGTTTTAAGTTTAGAGAATCACGCCAGAATTGGCACCACTGTACACTGTATAGTCATTAAATTGTTATGTAAATGGGTTGGATTTAGAAATAAGCTTCCCCGTTCTGGGAAAACTGACACTGTGGGGGGGATTAGGAGGTTTTACTGAAGCTCCTGACATCGATTTTAGATCGATACCGGAGAGGTACTTACGTTTTTTTTTATTTTATTTTTTGAGTGAAACGAAACACATGTATTGAGAAGAAAAGTAAAACGACATGCAAAAAGCTCCCCACCCCCTCCCCTCCCACCTCCGTAAACCCCTAATGAAGAAGCTAATTTCTAAACTTTTACCGCGTAAATAAAAGTAACCTCTTTAAATCTCTAGGCATTCCAAAAAACGACTTCGAATCTCTCTGAAATTTATAATTCTTCCATCCATATACAGCACAAATTGCACCACGAACATAAGTATAAGGTGTTTGAGACATTTTAACAGTTTATTTCCCAATTATTACAATATAATTATTGTAAATCCAGTAATTGTAACACAACTCAACACAAAACACCATGCAAAACACATTACAAATACAAATCGTTCTCCTCCTACCACTTGGGGGCTAGTGTCACTTTGTTTGCAGAGTTCACCCAAAGCTGCACGTATTGCTCTGGTTCTTAGGGTGCGGCCAGAGTGCACTCAGATTCAGATTCTGAAAACAAGCGCGAGAAATAAACAGTGTAGTCGAAGGGTACGGCCAGAGTGCACTCCTGATTCAGATTCAGATTCAGACTCAGAAAACAAAGCGCGAGAAAAAGCAGGCAACCTGCTTAGACTACACTGTTTATTTCTCGCGCTTGTTTTCGAAATCTGAATCTGAGTCTGAATCTGAGTGCACTCTGGCCGCACCCTAAGTATTTGATATTATTAACCGCAATGCTTTATGAATTTTGTTTCCTTTGTCATATAATAGGAAAATATAAAAGGCTGTCACGTCAAATGTCAAGTTCCGCGCCAAATGCGAAAAACTGTCAAAGTTTTAACTCTCCCTAACCTAAATTGTTTATTGTGTTGTGTATTGTTTCCGGTCGGGATTGCTTGTATGAATTTCAGATTCATCGTCTACGACTTTGTTGAAAATGTCTACACCGTCAAAACGACCATCTTCCCGAGCGTCTTCAGACGCGGCCACCCCCTCGCGAAGAACCCGCTCCTCTCAGTCTCAACAACTTGTTGTTCCAGAAACTCCTCAAAGATCGACTGGCACACCATCTAAAGGTATTTTAGACATATCAATAATGTATCATTTAACTATTAAAATTTCTTCAAAATTCATTGTTTACAATAGCCTAAGTGTAAATAATCTTGATAACTTTTATTAGAGAGCTAGCTGCTAGCTATTATGATATATAGTAGACAATAAATGTAGAAAATATATGAGTAGACAATCAGAATTAGTTTTTAGAATCGTTATGTATGATTTTTATTATTTCATTTAAATGGATGTAGTCATCACCTGTACTGATAGCTAAAAATAAAGTCAATCAAAAATTTCCATCAGGTTTCCCTAATTTGTTATAATAATAATAGTAATGACTGGACATTGCCTAAACCTCATAAGAGCCGCCATCACAGAAGCAATTTATCTATCTATCCTGAGAAAATAAGTTAGGCAACTATGGCCTTAGTGCTTTACAATACCTATTTGTTTCCTACTTGACCCTGTTTGTTAATTGTATTTATTATATGCTTGGCTTAACAGAATGGTAAAGTCAATGTAACTATAATGAACAGACATCAATATAGAAAAGTACTGACCTAACTAGTTGTAAATACCTCTATATGAAATAATTTCAGATGGCACGCCTGGAACCCCTAGAACTCCCCGGCGTACACCGCGGACTCCCAGGGAAGCACCTGGTACCTCACCTGCTCGACCATTACCATCCAGTCCACTTGGTAATATTTGTATTTTTTCTGTATTATTGATATAACCTTTTAGTTCTAATTTGGGTATTACAGTATGTTACCACAGCATACCTTAAGAAGCAAGTGTTCCTCTTGTACAATAAAATATGAATGAAACTAAAGATGAATTTACTTATACTCAGACATACATATAAATGGCTAAAAGTTATTACTAATAGAGATATTAATAAAATTATTCTGTATTATTTAAATTATTTTCATTATTTGGTGATACAATTATCACACTTCTTATTTGCTAATGAAGTATCTAGGCTGGAAACAGTGCTCGACCAACAGTATGTCCTGACCTGCAGCACTGACCGTCGGTTGAGAAAATGCATTCAGTGCTACGCTGACGGCGAACGGCGACGCGTGTGTACAGTACAGTTCACAAGAAAATTATACCCTTTTGCTGTAAATGCATGCTATTTTTTGCGCAAACGAGGGAATAGAAGGCGCCGAAGATATTATGTACACCCAATACTTGTAGAACAGTTACTTGAAGGCAAATTCTGCAAACTATTTTTGAGATTGAAAGGAGCCGAGTAAAAGTTTTTTAATTATTTCAAGATGTCAATCAGAAGTGTCGATTAACTACAAGCAAGGTTACATGAATACATACTATATTACAATACTATATACTTTGAAACATTCCAATATGTTTCGAGTTTCTGTCCAACCTATTGAAACGGACAGACGAAGCCTCACTTCAGTAATAAGGCGTTCTGTATCAATATTTATTTTTGTTTTGAGTGTACGTACGCACGTATGGTCGGTCGCTCTGTCAGTGAAGCACTGTACGCATCCATACAATCTCATAATTCGTCAGTCGACCGACCGTACGCGCGTACCTAATCACGTGCGTACTATCAGTGTAGCTATGTGCGTATTCATAGACTTTCATAGATATAGCTAAGTCGACCGCCCGAGCACTGCTTCCAGCCTTAGTATTGATGAATTAGTCTCTCTCATCAGAAATAATATGTTACACTGGTAATTGGTTCCATGTTTTAAAAATCCTATAAAATGCTTGCAAGCGTTATTATATGACTGAGCCTTTGACAGTTTAAGGCGTTGGGTACTTATTTGTATTATATATTTGTCTTGCAGGTACGGATATAGATATGAGTTCACCTCTTAACTATGGCACACCTAGTTCCCTGAGTACTCCTCGGTCGTTGATGCGTGGAGCCATGACACCGGCGAGGCAAAGAGCTGACCTCAGAAGCCATCAATTGGCCCCCAACGTTCCCGCACCGACACCTACTAGACGAGTAAGTAGATATTGTACTATCATTTATGACTGCATTACTCAATTTGAGTTTGAAATCGAAAACGCCAAAATTCCCGGCATGCGGTCGAAGTCTGGAGGCATATGTAGTAATACTGCCTAAGCTTGGCGAAAGTTCTGTGTGTACTGACTAACAACTAATATTCATTTTCAAAATCAATTGGGCACTATTATTTACATAAGGTTATCTACACCTACTAGTCGAGTAAGTAGATATTGTACTATCATTTATGACTGCATTACTCAATTTGAGTTTGAAATCGAAAACGCCAAAATTCCCGGCATGCGGTCGAAGTCTGGAGGCATATGTAGTAATACTGCCTAAGCTTGGCGAAAGTTCTGTGTGTACTGACTAACAACTAATATTCATTTTCAAAATCAATTGGGCACTATTATTTACATAAAGGTTATCTATATTGATCTCAATACATTTACTTAAAGTGATATCAGGGCCAGTTTTTGACTGTGTCTGACGTCGGTCGCCGTCGACGGTCATTTTGAGGATTGCCGTTGCCGACGCGTCAAATTAGTATACTCTTGAACAAAGAGTGTTTTGGCTAAAAACTCCATTGTCGCTGTAATACTTCTTGAGGGTTGATATCATACATACATCGCCTTGCATCATATACTGCCCCGTGAAGAAAATCGTTTCATACTATTGATGACTTTCATTTGCTCAATGGCGCAAGTAGAGCGATTGTAGAAAAAGAGCAACTGTTGCAATAGCTCGTCTACCAAAAATATATTATCTCAAGCTCCTTCTTTTTGGTCGCAAGTCCTAAACACATTTGTTTGCACTGATCGCAAATAAAAAAGACAATGCTGTCTCTTGACTTATACCCCGCATTCGCGCTGCCACTAGCAGAGTTATGGTTACCATTGGCGTGCTCCCGCTGCCATCGATCCTCCAAAAGAAGGTTTCGTGCGTTAGTCTAGTTGGAAAGTAATATGATGCGCTGTATTTTTAGATCTGGCGCTCCGGGCCATTTAGGGTAGCTACACATAAGCTTGTCGACATTAGCTGGCACAGCTGGGCGGTTATATCGAAGACCTAGGTGTAGGTTTAAGGAGGCCCCCTTTAAGATGCGCATCAACGCTCACCTTCACTGCTCGAGTTGCCCGCCCTTCCTAGGCAAATTTGATAGGAGCCTGATAGTGCAGCCATAGTTACTCGTTCCAAAATTAAACTTATTGCAGTTCTCGACAGGCCTAGGTTTTTTAGAAGGTTATAGACATTGTGCTGGTATACCTCTCGCTCCTACTTCCACCGCATGTAAATTAACTAGATATTTGGTTGAAAATTGTTTAATCGCCACCTAAATTTAAAAATAGTACCTAGCTATACTTAACTTTTGTTAATTAATAATATTAATGTGATGGAAGTTGACATCAACACATGTTTTCAATTTTTGATGTCATCTTTCAATTGACGACACTGTATGAAACAAAACAGGGAGAAAAAAATAGCCCTTGCTGAGTTCCTTGCCGGTTCTTCTCAGTACAAGGTTTCCCGCCGTAGATTTACGAACCGATGGCGTAGCGTTTGACTTTCACAAGAGCTTGTAACAGCCTAGATTGAATAAATGAGTTTGAATTAATAATAGTAATCGTAAAATTCTCGTAGGTGGAAAAAAGACGCGGGATATTTAGTTGCTCGCCAAAAACGCTTGAACTAAATATCCCGCGTCTTTTTTCCACCTACGAGAATTTTCCGATATCGTCCTATTCTGGGGTGGTTGCAGTGCTGATCTGGAGTTAAGGGTTGATAATTAAATACTATAAGCAACGCTATTTTGCAGCAACTAATTAGCAACAAAATACGCCATAGTTTATGTTCTCTTATGACCTCTTTTTCACATTATCGTATTTAGAGGGTAGTGCGGGGGTTGATGTGGCAATAAGGTGATGCTGGGGGAATAATACAAATAATGTTGTCCTTAAGCAACTAATTAGCAACAAAATATCCAGCAGTTTTAAACATCTGCATGCGAATTCCAACCATCTACTGTTTCTAAGTGAGTAGAGGGGTTGGATCTGAGGTTAGGGGATGATTGTAGGATACTCCTATCTGCGTTTTTGGCGAGCAACTAATTAGCAACAAAACATCCAGCAGTTTTAAACATCTGCGTGCGAATTCCAACCATCTACTGTTTCTAAGTGAGTAGAGGGGTTGGATCTGAGGTTAGGGGATGATTGTAGAATACTCTTAATTGGGTTTTTGGCGAGCAACTAATTAGCAACTAAATATGCCGCGTCTATTTTTCACCTACGAGAATTTTCCGATATCGTCTTATTCTGGGGTGGTTGCAGGGATGATCTGGAGTTAAGGGTTGATAATAATTTTTTTTAAACAACGCTATTTTGCAGCAACTAATTAGCAACAAAATACGCCGTAATTTATATTCTCTGATGAGCTCTTTTTAATTTTATCGTATTTCGGGGGTAGTGTGGGTGCTGGTGCGGCAATTAGGGGGGGATAATACAAATAATGCTGTCCTATAGCAACTAATTAGCAACTAAATATGCCGTTTGCAGAACTACGATATCTTTACGGGAACCGAAGATACGGTATTGTGGTCTGCTAGGTTAAGACTTAATCTAGCAGATCGCTTGCATCTTTTACAGGTATTGAGCAACTAAATCGGGAATAGTGTAACTAATTAGCAACTAAATACCCAGTAGGTTAGATGTGCGCATTGCGACCATGGTCTACTAGTTTAATATACGACGCTGTCCCGCCCATTGCCACTTCAGCAGAGGAATCCTTCGGGCGACATAGGTTAATATAGGTCTCTTACGGATTTCTGGATTTCTTCTTTTCTCTATATCGCGTATGGAAATACCTAGCATAGCTCTCTCCATTGCTGGCTGTGTGACCTTAAGCCTTTTTAAGAGACCCGCAGTAAATGACCACCAATGTGATGACCTACGGAAGTGAAACCCTTCCGTAGCTCATCACTGGTAAAAGACTTATCTTGAGACACTGAGGTAATTTGGATGCGAAGGTTTTCCGTAACTTCGAACGCTACCCACCCGAGCTGGATACGACGAGCGATCTCTTTCTCAAAGTTGGACTTATCTTACTGGACTTTCTGTCTTTAAACTTAATGGTCGACAACTTTGAGTGTAGTAGTGTTCTCAATTTATAACTGGAGCGGGGTGCTTCATGGGCATTCGACATAATTTTCATATGATCCATGTTCATCTTAAGACCGACTCTTTCGGAAGCACTACTAAGATCTTCGAGCATCGTGTTAAGAGCATAAAAGTCGCGGCCATAAGAACTACATCATTGGCGAAACGAAGGTGTGATAAGTAATTGCTAATAATGTTGATGCCTCTTCCTTTCCACTCCAGAAGCTTAATAGTATACTCCAAGTTCAATGCACAGTTTTGGAGATAAAATGCCCGCAGCTGTGAACAGTTTCGGTAATAAAAAATAGTTACTGTAACGTTAAATATGTGTGACGTGAATGACGCATTGTTCTGAGCCACACGGACGCGGCGGTTACTAACTTTGTGATATTACGCACCTAGACAACCTTTCGTTTTTTTTTAATTATTTAGATTTACAGGGTTTATCTTATGTATGCTTCATTTCATGAAACAGACCTTTGTGAACTCATTAAATCCATGAAATATTAAATAAGAAGTAAGTTTAAGGCAAATGAAATGAGCATATTTTAACATTTTATTTATGCAGCAAGTTTTGAACACAACCCATTCACAATTTATCAATATTTAGCTTATTACATTTTATACCACAATTTCCATCTGAAGAGATCTTCAGTCGGTAGCTTCAACCATAACATAAGTAAATAGTAAACAATTGATATCATCATTGTAATTTTGAAATAAATTAGCGTTGATTTATTTGTATCGGTTGCATCCACAGTTTCCAACAAACTGAAGTTTTTACGAAATTCTTTTGAAGGTTGATTCAGACCCTCTTCTTTCTGAAAATAAATGAATATACTTTATTATGTTGCCTTAACAGCCTTCCCAGCTAGAGGCTTCCTCATGTGGCTTTTGGTCAGAAAGAGTCTTGACAAAACCGTACAGCTGATATGCATGAAGCATTTTCCACCCTCTTCTTAGCTTCTCCTGGGGGCCCATTCCCATTACAAAAAGAATCAAATTTACCAGCAAAGTCCTGGTACTAAAAGGCAGTCACGAACAAAAGATTTTGGCCACGACGAACTACTGTTTACAAGGAGCAGCTCTACAGTCCGGGTGACGTATACAACCGAACTATTGAGTTGAGACGGAAAAGTCTCGCCTGTTCGGTCAATCGGCCTACTGTCACAAGGGAAAAGATTGAGATAGTTGGCACAGTTATTAGCGTGTTCGGTCTGGGGTTCTGGAAGTTAAGCAACTTTCGCAATTTCCCGAAATAGGATGGATGAAGAAAAAATATTCTCGAACTCCTCCGTACATTAAACCGTTGACCTCAACTGCAGTCACCAATCAATACCGGGCCCATGTGGAGGGAGGGGTATGGTCGTTCTCCCTATTTCGTCTGTGCTTTGTGTAGCGAGGACATACCTATAAGCTGACAATGATGTCCATAAAAACTTACTTCCGTAAAGTCCACATTGTAAACCTGTGCCCTGCACAGAGGACATATCAAGAAGTTTGGTTTCTCCTTCACCCGCCAATAATCATCTAAACAATTCTCGCAGAACTTATGTCCGCATGTTAGCAACGCGGGCTTGAATATGGAGGACAGGCAGATACGACAACTGCTCAGCACTGAAGAGCTTTTCAAACATAGACTATTTGTACTCGCTTTATATTCCTTCTGTTTTGATGCCAGCATCAAGCACGCCGATTGAGACATTTTTTCGTATCACATTTCTGTAATTTTGCTTTCAATTTTTGTTAATTTTTTTCATTATTTGACAGCATTTTGAATGTGTCAAGAGAATATAAATCATCATCATAGTCATCTAGCTTCTTTACACGTTGCGATCGGTCATCGCGTAACTTTTGAAATCTGCGAAGTCAGTCATACCGAAATCCTTTGACCATGACTTCTTCATGAACTCCTTCAATCCTTTTTCATGGACAAAGGATTTCGCTACTAATAATGCACAAAGTTGTAGAATAGCATGGACCTGGACCTTAGATTTCACTTTGTTTACTTGGTCCCAAGATTTGGTCCAAATAATTGCAGATTTGAACATTTACAGTACTAGAGTAAGAACCCAAGACCACCAGACGTTTATGTTTTATGCTTTTAGCATTTAAAGTGTCTGGCACAAATTTTCTCTACAACATGCGTAGAAATCAGTCTCCAGACAGTAAGTGTACGGGATGTGTGTACGTAGAAGAAAAAGTTGATTTTTACAGAGATTTCGTTTATAGGCACACAAAACATATTTGTCTAATGAAATAGTGTATGGTGTTTATGAGCCACCGTTGAAACTTAGACTGATGCATCGCGTTCTAGATTCGACACACCAAACTAAAAATGCAATGCTGCAAAATAGAAAATGTGAAATAATTATATTTATATTGTGCGGTTTATTGAACCGTACAGTAAGTAAAGAAGTGAGTAAATTTTTTACGTGCCTGTGCCTGTACAAGTTAGCAACTATGCATGCGTTCATTGTACACACTTATACCACTCAATTATCTATATTTTGTCTATCAGAAAATAAGTATGATCTGGGGGCCAATCGCCTAACGGAATTGCTATGGGTATCGCTATCGCTTACAATTTAATGTTGTTTCTGACCGCCGAAGGTTTTCAAATACCTTACGCTCATTGTATTTAATATTGTTGTTACCAATACAAAAGAAAGAAAAGAGTGCGGTACATTTGAAAACCTTCGGCGCTTAGAAATAACAAAATGAAATCGTAAGCGATAGCCATAGCCATAGCAACCCCGTTAGCGAATGCCCCCCTGGCCGTCTTGGTATCTTGTACTATACCGCTATAGAGGCAAAGAGGTAGTTTATGGGCAGTACTTTAATGGTACGGTAGCTTGCTAAAATTTTATAATTTTACATATATTTACAAAATAATATTTTGACAAACTACTGAACGAACTACCGGGGAACCATGTAGAATGTATTTTATAAATTGAAGAAGATTACTTAAGCCTTCTCATCTCAATCTTAGGGAGAGAATGGTGCAGAGGATGTGCCATCCAGCGAGCCACAATTGGTGGTGTGGGGCACGGACGTGGCCATCGCCGAATGCCGTGAGAAGTTCATCAAGTTCATACAGAGATTCGTCGAACCGACCGCAGTTACCAACGACCCTTTGTACGAGCAGAAATTGGAAGAGGTAAGTTAAACGAATGCTTTTCTTCAAATCTTGTTAAAGCTTTTGTGCTCTCGTGCTAAACCTTAATTAGATTTAGAAGTATCTTTTACCTTACAAAACAGTTCAAGCTCAAAATATTTTCTAAATAACACGTCGGTTTCGTTCCGTTTTATTCTTGCAATAAGAACGCCAGCTGCATTCCTGACGTATAAGAGGAAAGGCACTTGTTGTCAGGAAAACCGATTAGGCACCTCGCGCACTAGAAGACCACGACCACGACCAGATTAACTAAAGTAACCATACTAACGTCGCGCACTTGGCCACACACCGGCCCGGCACGACTTGCCGTTGCGGCCAACTTACCTATAGTTTGCTATAAGCGCTCACGCACTAGATATGCGAGCGCGAATGTGGCCAGTCCGCGAATAACCATTCTTAGTGTCATGCAGACAGTTCGTCAGTGGACACGCTACTTATTGTTCCGCAACTTAATAAGAGTCCTTTATTTCTGCAATGAGTTTCAATACAGAGTTAATTAGTAATGAAATAAAGAAATGAGCAGCACTGTGGCAGCTTTATGGCCAATCGTGGACGTGGCCGTAAATTTAGCTGCAATTTAGCTGTATCATTTGCAACCAAGGTTGCAGCCACGGCCACGCCTGGTTGTAGCCGTCTAGTAAGCGAGGTGCCTTAGTGACTGTATACCCTTGGGTGTATCTTTATATATTACTTGCTCAGTGGGGGTGTATTTTAACATAAAATGTGTGTACTACTTTTAATTCATAATTTTTCTCTTTTTCAGATTCATACATTAGAAGAGCCGTTTTTAGATGTTGATTGTGATCATGTCAGAATTTTCGATCCTAAATTACACAGGCAACTGGTTTGCTACCCTCAAGAAGTGAGTTGTAATAATCATTCAATAAATTAAACATTGTGACATATTTAATAATTGTTATGCGTGAAAACATAAGAAATAAATATAATCGTTCAAATTTAAGCCTTTTGTGAATGCTGGTAAAGCTCAACGTCGTATGTTTCTTTTAGGTGGTGCCTGCATTTGATGCGGCAGTCAACGAATTATTCTTTGACAAATATCCAGCTGCAGTGTTAGAACATCAAATTCAAGTAAGGCCATTCAATGCTCCACAAAGGCACATGCGCGATTTGAATCCTGAAGGTAAATAATACTTGGTTTACGGAATGAGTTTTAGGAATGAGAGAATGAGCCTTAAAAAGACGGGGATGGAAAACCGTCAAACGAGAAAAAGGGCTGTCATTGACCGGAGTAACTCCAACAGTAGGTATACAGCCAATGACATAAAAGCTTAACTTTTGTTTTTGCTAGCAATGATATAATATATACAAATAGAGATAGATATGTCACTAGCGCGCGTAAGTTGTTGCAGATAAATTCAGGCTATTGTTGTAATTTTATTTAGTTGGCTAAAAGCAGCCAGCGAAACAAATGTAAAACTATGGTTCAAAGATAAATAAGAGGAGGAGGTATTCAAATAAATACCTGTACAAGTATTAAACATGTGACAGTAAAATAGGAATTATACTTATAATTTTTTAAACATTTAGCTGCTAGATGTTTGAGCATAAAGAAAATTTTACTAGAAAATTAATCCGGGTTCGAGTCCTGTCTACCGCCTGGTCCGCGTTGTTTTTTTATAAAGAATATTATTATTATTTATTGTTCCCTTGTCTTCTATAGACATCGACCAATTGGTGAGCATCTCCGGCATGGTGATTCGCACATCGGGCATAGTCCCAGAGATGAGGGAAGCTTTCTTCAAGTGTACGGTTTGCGGTGCCGGCGCCGCAAGCGAGTTGGAACGAGGCAGAGTGGCCGAACCGGCACATTGTTCCCATTGCAATACCGCCCATTGCTTCCAACTGATACATAACCGATCGCACTTCAGTGACAAACAACTCGTGAAGCTTCAGGAATCTCCCGGTGAGTCGTTTATCTACTGCATTAGTTTACAGCGAGTTGGAACGAGGCAGAGTCGCCGAACCGGTACGTTGTTCCCATTACAATACCGCCCATTGCTTCCAACTGATACACAACCGATCGCACTTCAGTGACAAACAACTCGTGAAGCTTCAGGAATCTCCTGGTGAGTCGTTTATCTACTGAATTAGTTTACAGCGAGTTGGAACGAGGCAGAGTCGTCGAACCGGCACGTTGTTCCGATTACAATACCGCCCATTGCATCCAACTGATACATAACCGATCGCACTTCAGTGACAAACAACTCGCGAAGCTTCAGGAATCTCCTGGTGAGTCGTGTGCCTCCTAGAATGGTTTCTAGCGAGTCAGTTTTAAAGAAGTTAAAATGCTTCCGATAAATGCGTAACCGATCGCACTTCAATGACAAACAACTCGTTAGTAATTATTTTTTATATTGTTACAAACTTTTATGATCACTAACTTTATAGTAAATAGTACTATCTTGCAACCCCCTCCCCCCGATATTTTTGCACCTTGCTGCACCACTCGGCACTTTGCTGCTCGGTGATTATGGCACTTACAATATTATTTATTATATTTATTTACTTTAACAGACGATATGCCAGCGGGTCGCACTCCAGCCACTGTAAGCGTGATGGCTCACGGGGCTTTAGTAGAAGGAGTAGGCGCGGGAGAGAGAGTCAGTGTAACGGGAGTGTTCCGCGCTGCCCCGGCCACTGTACACCCTAGGAAAGCTACATTGAAGGCATTACATAGGACCCATATCGATGCCTTGCACTACAAGAAGGTGCATAGCGATAGACTGCTGGAGACTGAAGAGGGGTGAGTTTTTGTAGTATACTAGTCTTAAAAACCGGAAGCGTTATTACGGTAATAAAAAGAAAATAACCTATTAGAATGATTTATAAAAAATCGTACACTTCGTCACAGCGTCCGCAGCAAAGTGAGTGCGTATGCTGTTTCTTCATCTCGCGCGTCGCCAGCGCCGAAGGCGTCGCGGCGTGCGGGGAATCCATTTTGGCGTGAGCCACTGCTAGGGTTGCCAACTCTCGAAAGGACCAACCCGGGAGAATTGTATATTTAAGAAATTAATATGGGGAAGGGGGGGGGGTCTGACTGAAAGAAAATCAATCATTAATTTATAAATTTATATTTATTTTGTTTAAAAATTGTCGACTCAGTTGTGTCAGCAGCTAATATTTGTCGATTTTTCACCACAAAATCATAAAAGCTTTTACATGAAAAATCGAAGTTTGTTAGTAACTCTGCTTTTACTAAAGAAATACCCATTCTACTTTTTTATTTTTCTCAAATTACTTATTAGGTAGCTCCGGTTTTACTGAATGACTTATCTAATTAGACTGAGAACAAGAAACAAACGTGCGACATACTCGGCAAGCCGCTGGGTGAAGTAACGCGTCGAGACGAACAGGTTTAGACCGGCAGCGGAGCGGCGCGAGATGTTGTGGCCGCACAGCGAGTAAATAGCGATATCTGCATTTAAGTTTTAGAAAAACCGGAGAAATTATTGCTCTCCAGGAGGTTAACTATTATTACCGGAGTCTCCCGGGCAATCCGGGAGGGTTGGGAACCCTAGTCACTGCGCATACTGCGGGCGCGCACCTCTTTCACAAACGGAGCGGTCGTGTAGTCTATTACCCCCTCTCCACGTTTTCACACGTCGCCCTCGGCGCGGTCAAGCCCACCGTGTGAGACCCACGAGGGAGGCCCAGTGAGCGACCTGCGAGCGGGCGACGCACTTAGCGTGAGGGGGTAGGTTCTTGCTCGGAGCTAGTAGGCGAACTTTTCGGCCTGCCCGAACTTTTTGACAAAGTCCGCGAGCAGGCTAAAAAGCAGGCGGGTCGTCTCTTCTTCGTCGGTTGCGCGCCTCGCATTTGAGCGCGGAGCACGCGCTGTGGTTAGCGGGGTGCGCGCCCTTGCAATTCGCGCAAGTTGAGTGGCGGAACCCCTGACAGCGGTGACACTGCGCGGGGGTCTTCCTCCCTCTCCAGGCCTCGATCTGGATCCCGGTCATGCTCAGGTCACTCACCGAGTAGATGGCCGGGATGGTGTCAGGTGTCCTTCGTATGGCTGGGTAGTAGACGCATCCTTGGCGGTCTACGCGCGCCCGGATCTGCTTCGCGTATTCGACAGCGTAGCCTTATTTATAAAACATTTTTTTTCTACTAAACTTTTCTTTACATTTAAACATCTAGCAGTTAAATGCTTAAAAAACATAACTATAATTGCTATTTCTTCTATTAAATGTTTAATACTTGTAAAGGTATTCTTTTGACATTGAGGGTTACCTACAATGCCAAGAGATGGCCTGCTTTGCAGCCTAAGGCTAGAGAAAAATCGACACGGCCGTCAGGCGCTCGGTAGTATAATGGTCAGTATAATCACCCGGCTAGCGAAGGGTGCGGGCTCGTCTGCTGCCAGGTCCGCGTGGATTTTTTTTCTAGTAAACTTTTCTTTAGGGAGAATTATTTTTAAGGCTCATTCTATTTCTTTTTGATTTCCAACAAAGATGGATCGATCTGTTAAAAGGATTGAGCCTTAATTTGAATTAAAAATGTTTGTGCAAGTGGCTCTTAGTATTTACGAAAATCCTATCTTTTGGTCACAGTAAAGAGCACCGCTTTCCCCCTGAACGCGTGGAGTTATTCAAGGCCTTGTCTACTCAATCTGATTGCTACGAGCGTCTAGCGCGTGCCATAGCACCCTCCATATATGAAAACCTGGATATCAAGAAGGGGGTGTTACTACAACTGCTAGGGGGCACTAAGAAAAACTTTAATGCTGCCGGCAGAACACATTTCAGGTGAGAAGAAAACTATTTTTTTGCTATGTTATTGATAATAACATTGATACTTATAGGATAATGTAGATGCTGAATCGCCAAGATTTTTTATCATATAAAATTTAAGACAATATCGTGTTTTTATTCTGGCAACAATGTAGCCGTTTCTTTTTTTAGCCCCTAAATGAATTTCGATCTCTTATTTGATCAATTAAAACCTAATATTTTTTCATGGTCCTTCGAGCTGGATGTGAAACGAATTTACTAAATATCAAATATTTATTCAAGTAATGCTGGCACTTTACTTGGCTATTCTTATTTGCTATTTGTAAACAACAACAGTCTTACCTTATCATGTCATAGTCTGTCCTTATCATGCTTTAAGAAGAATGACAAGGACAGACTGATGTCAAGTTTACAAATAACAAACACAAATAGCCAAGTGAACTGCCGGCATAATGTTTTTATTTTCATAACTACAGTTATACAGCAGTGATCACACTAATATTATTAAGGCTAAAGTTTGTGAGTGTATATGTTTGTTACTTCTTCACGTCTAAACGGTTGGAGTGATTTTAATAAAATTTGATATGCAGTTAGCTAAAACCCTGGCCATATATACACACAGGCTGCGTTTACTGCGGGAAAATATCGCTAATAAGGCACGGGTTACACCGCGGGGCACAGCTAGTGATTCATAAAGACTACACTATCCCAACTAATATATTATTAACGATAGTGAGTTTGTTTGTTACGCTTTCACGCCTAAACCACTGAACGGATTTAGACGAAATTTGGTACGCATATAGTTTATGGCTTGGATTGAGGCATAGGTAACTTTTTATTCCGGAAAAGTGTTAGTTTCCTGAGGGATTTAAAAAAATAAGGTTAACGCGGACGAAGTCGCGGGCTTTCTCTAGTGTATTATATTTAGTTTGCTGGATTTCTAAGTCTTTCTGTCTGTTTCTAGTGCAATTGAATTCATAAGCGTGAATCATTGTCAGGTCTGAGATAAACATTCTCCTGTGTGGCGACCCTGGTACCAGTAAGTCCCAGCTTCTCCGCTGGGTGTACGATCTTGTCCCGCGGGCCCAGTACACATCGGGCCGTGGCTCGTCCGCAGTCGGCCTCACCGCGTACGTCACTAAAGACCCGGACACGAGGCAACTGGTGTTACAGACGTAAGTTATTTTATAGTTTACTTCTTTTTTAATCCTGGTACTAGTAAGACCTAGCTTCTCTGGTGGGTGTACGATCAGGAGGCCTACTAAAATTCAACGAAAAACGAAATTTCGATCGAAACTTCGCACTTTTTTTACCATGTTTCTGGTTCGTTTTTAATTGAAATAATATTCGTCGGCGAAATATAGATTGACGTGTGGATTTGTCTAATCCTACTCAAAGAAAGCTTCAATTTGATAGTTGATCGTTCAAATTAAGTATAACCTTAAATTGACGAAATTAAATTTCTTTTAACTTCGCTATCGAAAAGGTGCCGCTAGTTTAACCCCCTAAGTCAAGCGTGCCTAAAGAAGTTTCTTTTCAAAAATGTGCGCGCACACTGCTTTCTTGTTTATATCCTCCACTCAACTCGCGTTCTCCCCGCCCGTACACACTTTATGTAACGCGTAACGTGTCAAGTCAAGCGTGCGTAAAGAAGTTTAACTTCAAAAGTTAGCGAATAGGCTGGCCCAGCGCGGGCCCAGTACACGTCGGGCCGTGGCTCGTCCGCAATCGGCCTCACTGCATACGTCACTAAAGACCCGGACACGAGGCAACTGGTGTTATAGACGTGAGTTATTGAATATTTTACTTCCTTATTTACCTTGCACTAGTAAGTCTCAGCTGCTCCGCTAGATGTACGATCTGTAGGCCTATTCGCCAACTGCTTTTGACAGATGGAAGTGATAATCGCGGAGGTATTTAGTGATCCACCACTGTTTTATTAAAACGCCACTAAGATACTTGTTCTGAAAAGCATCGATGGATACCATTAATTATCTCTTTCGTTACACACTGTAAATGTCAAAAAAAACGAGTGTGCTTATGACCACACGACTGAAGTAAAACTTCTTTAGCAATGTATATATACATACTTGGGGGGTAAGCAGGCTAATGAGTTGCGCGTTGTGAAAAATGTGTTCTGCGAGGCGAACGGGAGTTGAGTGGGGGGGAATAAGATATGAGCAAGAGAAAGCAGTGCGCGCGCACATTTTCTTTGAAATGTGTTTTTTTTTGTGGGTGTATTAATATTATATTGTTAGGTGTCAGGTTCAAGTTCCAAATTATAATGTCAGTTCCACCTTACGCCTAACTGCTAAGGCTCATATTCGCACCGCATCATTGTGGGTACTTTGGGTCTCGCGAGCAATGTACACATCGATTGACGGCCGCGACGTTCTACAATCTAGATCTAATATATCAAATTCTCGTGTCACGTTTTGCGTAATTGAACTACTCCGAAACGGCTCGACCGATTTTCGTGAAATTATATATGCATATTCAGTAGGTCTGGGAATCGGATATCTGTTTTTCATCCGCCTAAATGTTAAGGGTGGTCCACCCTTAAATATTGTTTTTTTTGGATAGTTTTTTTCTTCTGATACATCATACAAAAATACATACTACCTTAAATTTTCACCCTTCTATCACCAACCCCTATTTTTTTTATGGCGGTACGGAGTTCGTTGGGTCAGCTAGTAAATACATATTATATAAACTAATAATGTAGTGCATGATTTTACATTTAATAGCGTCATTATTTGTTCCTAGTGGTGCGTTGGTCCTTGCCGATAACGGCATATGCTGCATCGACGAGTTCGACAAAATGAACGACTCCACTCGCAGCGTGTTACACGAGGTATGTATTTTTTCCGCCTCCTTCTGCGAGATAACGTTCTCGCAGAAAATCTAGACGAGCCCTGGGCAGCCCGATCGTTTCGTCTTTCTCACACTTAATACACTGTTAATTGTGTGATACTGCCTAATTCCATCCAGTCCATTCACTATGGCAACCCGTTTTACAAAACAAACAGCTAACGTCTTCTTATTATAATTTTGTAGTATCTCTTACCTGTTTTCTTACTGAACAATTGTTCTGTCATTTTGGTTATGTTCAGATGCCTGTTCAATGTGAATAAAACAACAACATGTTTGTGAATGTAATGCATATTTATTTATTTTTTATGCTTTTATAATATTGTTAAGTTTGCACACTGTTAATATTGACACAAATGCATGCCGTGGCAGCCTATAATTAAGATACCACTGCTTGGGGTCCGCTTGCAGTATTTATGCGGGCTATTTAAAACTTTACGGCTTTAGAGATTTCGCCAAGTTAATCTATGGTTAAACTTCTTTATCCAAAAGTAGGCTCTAACTATCACAAAAAATGGCTTATAGTTCCGTGGGTAGCGCGCCCCGATCGGGGCGTGCGGTGTTTGACCGTGCGATGTATTTTTCGAGCGCGCCCCGATCGGGGCATGTGGTCTTATTTGAACTAACCCGTGAGTTTTCTCAAAAAATAATGAAGGTTTACTTCGTATTTTGATATTGAATTAAATAGAATTACTATCAAAAACTTTCATAAAACTAATCTACCATCATTGAACTACTGAAATATGTATATATTTTTATAATTAGTTCATTAATAATTATTTTAGAAGACTCGAAACATCACCCGTAAAATGCAATATATACTAGTGCAAATCTAACTACGCGCCGATCAGTATGGCAGCGGCGCAATTGTGTAAAAGGGCTCTTAAATTATCACTTATACACTATTTTTATACTATACTATGTCTTGATATTCTTGTGGGTTGTCCTTAAATAACTAAATAAATTATTTGTATGGATCAGGTGATGGAGCAACAGACCCTTTCGATCGCCAAAGCTGGCATCATCTGCCAACTAAACGCGCGTACTTCGATCCTGGCGGCCGCCAATCCAGCCGAGTCTCAGTGGAACAAGAACAAGACCATAGTAGAGAACGTACAGCTGCCTCATACGCTTATGTCCAGGTTGATAACAATTATTATACTACTTTACTATATTTCGGAGAAGGTCGATGGCGCAAGTGGTTAGCGCGTTCGGCTGCGATTAGGTTTACCATCCGTCCAGATTAGTCCGTACTTTGTCCGGATCTTTAAACTGTCTGAATTATTTAATTATATTTATTATCTATAATATAAAAATGAATCGCCGAATGTGTTGCTATCCGCAAATCTCGAGAACAGCTAAACCGATTTCTATAATTATTTTTTTAGAATATTCCTTGAAGTACGAGCATGGTTCTTACGCAGAGAAAATAAAAAAATTGCCTGAAAATGTCCAAAAACAACACTTTTCTATACTCCCATACAAACGATTCGTAATATTACTTAAAAGTCAATTTGAACTTATATACCATACCATGAATTTCAAATGTTATTGAAGTGGACTCGGGAAGGCAAAACAATTGAGTGATGTGATATCAATAGAAGTTTGGAAAAGGCAAATATACCATTTTAAGTTTTTTTTTATAAGTATATGAGGAGTCATTTTAGTCTACACTACAGCTCTACACCGAGGCGAATAGAGGCCACTAGTGAATAATAGAAGTACATACTGATTTAAATACCATACCATTGTAACTAAGTGAGTAATGATACCATTTTGTGACTAAAGAGTCCGAACTGTTTGGACTTTTGACTGGACCCTAGCTGCGATAGTTAAAGTTAAGCAACTTTCGAAATGGTCGGTCATTGGATGGGTGACCAAAAATTTACCGTCTCGAGCTCTTGCGTGCTTCGGAAGGCACGATAAGCTGTTGGTCTCGGCAGCATCTGCAGTCGTTAAGACCCACCAATCCGCACTGGGCCCGCGTGATGGGTCATCACCCAATCTCCCTTTTCCATCCATGTGGAAGACCTGTGCCTCAGCAGTGGGGAGGTTAATAGTCTGATGATGAATATCGATTAAACTCGTATTCCAGATTCGATCTAATATTCTTAGTGCTGGACCCTCAAGACGAAGTGTTTGACCGCCGCCTGGCGTCGCATCTTGTCTCTTTATACTACAAGGACCCCGTCGATTCACAGGAGGATCAGGATCTTGTGGTGAGTTGTTCTTACCGACTTCAATTTTTTTTTCCATTGTTCTGTTCTACAACTTTTGTCTGGATTTGTGATTAACTTCTTCCTTCTAATTATCAGGGGGGCAATCCATTGACTCCTCCACCACGTGTCTGTTTGCAAGGCTGTTCTGTCCATCGATGAGGCTAAGGGGCGCCCTCCGCCAAAGTCTCTTGAAACAGTCGTCAATGCTAATGAGGAAATGATGCCATATCATTAGGGTGTTATTTGAGGCGTGAACTATAACGTTTGACTACTTCTTCTATCTGAATTTAAATGGGTTTTTCTACTTGTGTTTTTTTTTTAATTATACAATAAAAAATTTCACGTCTTTTCTACATCCAACTAATCCACCACAAATATAAAAATAGCCAGATGGCCGGCTCCCGTCATCCTCGAAATTAATAACCTGAATTTACCGCTATTATTTTTGACTGCACGTGTAGCGAAGAAATTCTGCTTATAAAATTCTACTTTAAGTTAAGGCGTGGCGTTGGAATGGTGGGGATGGAAAACTGCGTCAATAAAAATTGATGTGAAAATGTTATACAGGGTGCAAAAAATCCTATGACAAAGACTTAAACTACGCATTCTGTACACCCAAACAAGTAATCTTACAAAATATTATACGTGGGAATCATATTTATTTTTAAATTAAAATAAATACATTTTTTCCAGTACGGAATGTATATATGCGCTATACATTGCGTACTGGAAAAAAAACGCTACGCAAAGAATGTGCCTCTGTGTATGTATGTGCGTGTGTGTAAATGCGTCTATAAAAAAGTTAATGAACAACGTTTTGAAAATATTAATGTAAAAATCTTGAAAAAAATATTGTGTACCTTCAATATTTCCATAACCATAAATTTCCTAGGTATGGACCATACCAAAAGAAAAAAAACCAGAAGAAAAAAATTATCGTCATGATGTGGAGAATATGTGGCCTTCGACTTCGTTAAAGGATTTTTTACATCCTGTATAACGTATATTTTGTTTCAGGATATGGCCCTGATGAGAGATTACATAGCGTTTGCCAAGGAGCATGTGCAGCCGGTACTGAGCGAAGCGGCGCAGCAGAGACTGATCGATGCCTACGTAGATATGAGGTAAAACTTTTTAAAGTAATTTTCTCTAGCCTTAGGCTGCAAGGCAATCTCATCTCTTGGCATTGTAGGTAACCCACAATGTGAAATTAATACTTTTACAAGTATTAAACATTTAAAAGAAGAAATTGCAATTATAGTTATTTAATTTTTTAAGTATTTAACTGCTAGATGTTTAAATCTAAAGAAAAGATGTACCATAATGGTTAGTGAATTCGCCCGGTTAGCGAAGGGTGCGGGTTCGAGTCCCGTTTGCTGCCTGGTCCGTGAGGCATTTTGGCTAGTAATATTTTCTTTAGATTTACTAGAATACTTTATTCACTCTTATCTCATGCACATACACCTCGACATTATAAAATAGTAATTAAATTCATCATCAACAGCCCATCATAGTCCACTGCTGGACATAGGCCTCTCCAAATGCACGCCACTCAGATCGATCGTAATTAAATTAAACATTATTTATTTACAGGCGAGTAGGCAGTGGAAGAGGCCAGATATCTGCTTACCCGCGTCAGTTAGAATCTCTCATACGGTTAGCGGAAGCTCACGCCAGGATGAGACTCAGTCCTACAGTACAACTGATTGATGTGGATGAAGCCGCCAGGTAAACTATCATTCCTGTACTTGTAGATTATTGTTGTGTATGAAAAACACTAGGGTCTTACGTATAAAAAACAATTAGATTCCATTCGATGGGCTCGCACTTTGTACTCGTTCCTTAATCAAGTTAAGCGTCATTTCCTATCCTTACTTTGAACATACCGCTTTCCTTTGTTTTTTTAATTTATTTGTTTCTTTTTTTGTTTTAAATATAAATATGCATCTTATTATAATTACCTTTTTATTTTATTTTATAATATTACTTTTACACCCTTCCCCCTTTTTTGTTCTTATATACTTATTGCATTTTCCATCATGGGTTGCCTGGAAGAGATTACTATTAAGCAATAAGGCCGCCCATTGTATTATGTCTCTCTGTCAGTGTATTTTTACTTTTATTTCCTTTGTGGTATTATACAATAAAGAATATTATTATTAGATTCCCAATAGCCTAACAAAAGTGCATCAAAAAAGTCCGAGCGGCGTTATACATCAACTTATACAGATAATATTAAAACATGTTTTCAAATTAATACTTTAAGTCGTGGCAGTAACGTTCAATGTCAATTGTATACTAGCAAGAATCTTAAAACCAGACTTTTTAAAAATTACGTACAATAGATGAATGTACGTATTTTTCCTTCCGACACTTATTAAGCGCGATTGCGAATGTACTTGTTTTTATACATCAACTAGCGGCGCCCCGCGGTGTTACCCGCGGTATATTAGGGATATTTTCCCGCAGTAAAACGTAGCCTATGTTTTAATCCAGGGTGTCAGCTTACCCCATACCAATTTTTATTAAAATCGCTCCAGTCCTTTTTTTTATTTAGACCTGAAAAAGTAACAAACACACACACTCACAAACTTTCGCCTTTATAAAATTAGTATGATTACTTTACGGCTATAATTGCTCTCTTTGTAAATTATTCATGTGTATGAAAAACACTAGTGTCTTACAGTTTACGACCGCTCCCAGAAAAGTGAATTAAGTTTTAAGTGTGATCTCTTTCTTTGCAATGATATTAAAATAAGACGTTAATGTGGTTTTAAATGACATTTAATTTACGCAACACACAGTGGAGCAATAAAAATCGGACAAGTGCGAGCCGGACTCGCGTTCCGTACAAATTTATAGGAACACAACATATACAGTCGTATCACTTTTTAACGTTATTTTAGAAGTGTGATTTTTCACAGCTTCAAAGAACCGTACACCTGAGTATATAGATTAAATTTCAACTCGATACCTCCACGCGTTCCCGAGGTGAAGGTTCTTAACAGGCCGTGGTTGGACGTTTTATTATAAATGAGTTTTCTTACATCAACAATGTTTCGCATTTGGGTTTCGAATTGGCAATATGCTCACTGGCGCCACCTGGTGTTCGATCTGCGAACCTGTCCAGATGGCAGATATGTGGGTACCGCGAATATTGTTATGCGCGGGTACTCAAACAGTAATAACGGTCGTTGGCTCGTCATTTTCAACAGCCCCCTCTGCTGTTACAGGCTTGGTTCCGAACGGCCGTGTACACATATACACAGTCAGGTCATAAGTATTGTCACGCAGTAAAAACTTTTCTTTTAGAATGCTGGCCACAAAAAAGTTTATTGAATTCGAATTTCGAATTGTTCATGAAAATAAAAATGTATACTTTTTAGAATTTTACTCATTTTTAAATATGGAGTGGACGCTTAAAGAATACCAGTTATTGCGTTGCATCGTTGCGGTTACGCGCCAATTCAAATTTTTGACATACTGAAAAATTTGAATATAACCAAAAGATTCCTTTATCGTACCATCAAACGATACAATGAAGACTAGTGTAGATGACAGGTCAAGAAGTGGTCGCCCTCGGTCTGTTAGGACTCCCATTGATAAAAGCTGTGAAGGCGCGAATTCAAAGAAATCCCAAACGTAAGCAGAAACTGTTAGCCCTTCAGATGAGGTTAAGCAGAACCACGGTGAAAAGGGTGTTAAATGAAGACTTACGGCTTCGGGCATATCGAAGAAAAACAGGATATCGGATGAAAAAAATTCTACCGCAGAAGTGAGCTACAACAAACAAAATAAAATGGTGTACGCACACAGTAGTGAAGAAGCGAGCAACCGTATTCCGCGTGTCCAACGAGGTCATTTTCCATCCTCGCTCATAGTATGGTTGCGAGTTTCTTATTGGGGCTTAACAGAGGTACATTTTTGTGAGAAAGGTGTAAAAACGAATGCAGTTGTGTATCAAAATACAGTCCTGACGAACCTTGTGGAACCTGTTTCTCATACCATGTTCAATGGTATGAGAAACAGGTTCAACAGGCACTGGGTATTCCAACAAGATTCGGCGCCAGCTCATAGAGTGAAGAGCACACAAGACTGGCTGGCGGCGCGTGAAATCGATTTCAACCGGCACGGAGACTGGCCCTCCTCCAGTCCAGATTTGAGCCCGTTAGATTACAAGATATGGCAACACTTGGAGGAAAAGGCGTGCTCAAAGCCTCATCCCAATTTGGAGTCACTCAAGACATCCTTGATTAAGGCAGCCGCCGATATTGATATGGACCTCGTTCGTGCTGCGATAGACGACTGGCCGCGCAGATTGAAGGCCTGCATTCAAAATCACGGAGGTCATTTTGAATAAACTTTATTGTCATAACAATCTCTGTTTTGTTAAGTTCATTTTGGTATATAAATGGTTACATAATGAATAAACTTGTTTCAATTATTTTATATTAAACATGTGACAGAATTTATGACCTGACTAGGTATAAACACGTATCGCTTATTTCCGCTGAAATCGTGTAGAAAATTCTTCAACCGCTTATCCAAAGGACGAAGGAAGGAGCTGCTTGCTTATCTGTGCCTACGCTTGCAAGCACAGATAAGGAGACATACAGGTGAGTCGTTGGTGGCATTGCGCCTTATCGGACTTTCACTTTTTGCATTGTTGATGTTTCTTTTTGTGTTCAACCAGCAATCCGCCGTAAATATATTTAATACTCATTGTGAAACCCGCCCAGTGGTTAGGCTATTTACACGCCTTACCAGGCAGACTGACAACAAAGTGATCTTTCAAAGTGAAAGAAAAAACAGAACACATTTAAGGGTCTGTTTTTTTCTTTAAAGATACGGAACCCTAGAAACGAGGGCTACATCGACACTACCGTTTTCACGTCATCTTCATTTACCTCCTAGAAAATTCGGATCTAAAGTTAGTTTTAGATGATGTTTTCCGAGTGCGGTCGTTTTGATTATTGTTTTATCATTAGGTTGCACCGCGAAGCCCTAAAGCAATCCGCTACGGATCCAGCATCGGGCCGCATCGACGTAGGCATCCTCACGACAGGCCTGGGGGCTGCGGCCCGCCGTCGCCGCGCCGACCTGGTGGCAGCCCTGCGTGACGTCACCGCTCCCCTCCCTAAACCACACACTATAACCCACGCCAAGCTGCTGCAGGAGATCAACGCTAAATCACAGCTGGTAAGTTCATCATCATCATCATCAGCCTATTAATGTCCCCACTGCTGGGGCACTGACCTTCCCTGTGGATGGAACCAACCACGAGGACCCAGTGCAGATTGGTGGTTGCTAACGACTGTAGATGTAGTCGGGACCAAGGGCTAAACGTGCCTTCTGAAGCACGGAGGAGCTCGAGATGATAAATTTATGGTCACTCATCCAATGGCCGACCACTGCGAAAGTTGCTTAACTTCAACGACCGCAGCCGAACGCGCTAACCACTTGCGCCATTGAGCTCCACTGGCTGGTAAGTTCCTATACTATTTTTCGGATTCAGCATGGGGCCGCATCGCAGTCATCCTCACGACAGGCCTGGGGACCGCCTTGCGTGACTACACCACTCCCCTTCCTAAACCACACACTATAACCCACGCCAAGCTGCTGCATGAGATCAACGCTTGATCACAACTGGTAAGTTTCTATACTATTGGCCCGCCGACCTGGTGGCAGCCCTGCGTGACGTCACCGCTCCCCTCCCTAAAACACACTATAACCCACGCCAAGCTGCTGCAGGAGATCAACGCTAGATCACAGCTGGTAAGTTCCTGTACTATTTGTCGGATCCAGCATCGTAGGCATCCTCAGGACAGGCCTGGGGGACGCCCTGCGTGACGTCACCGTCATTCTGGATAATAATATACTTGTTTGGGCATAGAATTGGAGTCGAATCTTCTTCAATAAAGCTCGGTGATTTTCGTATTTCCCTTTACGTAATCGATGGTGTTAATTTAACAGTTCAACACATATGATATTTAGCAAGTCATTACTAGTACAGTCATTATATACATTTAAAAGTGAAAATGAACCGAGAAAGCCAAATTTTGGATATCACGTGGGGGGTGGCTAGAAAAGCTTAAGTTCAAATTGTCGACCAAAATAACCTTGTGCAATTTCCGCCATCTTGAAAAAACCCTTAAATTCAGTTTTTTCATCATAACTCGATTCCCCGTTGACATACGAAATTTTTTATAGAATACTTTTTTGTTGCTCTTCTTGCAATCTACAAATAAGGTCCCATGCATTTTTCACGTATCGATCGTCGTTTTCGAGATATCGATCAAAAATAACAAAAAATTTTTTTTTTCGCTATTTACTTTTTTCTGGTGAAAGATGTCGAAAAATGTTTAAAATAAAACTTGTAGAGCGTGTCCAGACCTACAAATTCGTTTTTTTATTTTTCATTTCCGACAAAAATTACGACCTCTAGCGCGCCACAAAGTCAGAGAATGCCCGGTTTTCATTTAGCCGCTCGCTCGGTTGTATCCACACGTCAAAATGGATGGAAAATGGTTCAGGGAATTATTGCAATACAAAAAAAAAATCATAAACCAGCCAAATTAGAAATCAAATACATGAAAATTGATGAAATAATTTTTATGCAGCAAACATAATGATTACAAGTGGTAATTTTTTTCACACGTTTTTCGTCGTTTGGATGGTCCTGGCTGTTCAAGTTCCTCCTCCGTAGACTCTTCGAGTCGTGAAACCTCTTCAATCGCAGGAAATGATGTTGTGACGGTCGAAAAATCGTAATCATCGTCATCGTCGTGATCGTCGTTGAATAAAATTTTGACTCTGGCGACATTGTCACATTTCTGTCCACTGCAGTGCAGGCAAATAACGGAGCAATGGATTCCTGCTTTCCTGCAGCCATAAAAGGAAATAGCGAAAAAAAAAATTCTCCCCAAATTTTTGATATTTTTGATTGATATCTCGAAAACGACGATCGATACGTGAAAAATGCATTGGACCTTAATTGTAGATCGCGAGAAGAGCAACAAAAAAGTATTCTATAAAAATTTTCGTATCTCAACGGGGAACCGAGTTATGATGAAAAAACTGAATTTAAGGGTTTTTTCAAGATGGCGGAAATTGCACAAGGTTATTTTGGTCGACAATTTGAACTTAAGCTTTTCTTGCCATCCCCCACGTAATATCCAAAATTTGGCTTTCTCGGTTCATTTTCATTTATTTCCCGATTTTTCCGACGTAATGACTGGACTATACGGTATTGCTGGTAAGGCAGTTGTGTGAATAAGTACACGAGCGACATCTATGGCGAATCCTCGAAGCACGTGGTGGTTTGGGTTTGGAATAGACAGCTATTGACGTTATGTACGAGGCGCGCTACATATTAAATCCAATAGGTGGCGCCACCCGTTGAATAATTGCAACCTTTTGTTACGATTTTGTACGTTCCATTTTCATATATATATGGGGCTTATGCGAGCGAGAATAATACTTATTTAAGTACATATTTATTCTATCCGTTGCCCTAGCATCCTATAACAAAAGCCTAACAGTGCTTACTTTGGAGCTAGGCTAATTGGTGTGAGTGTAGGAAGTATTTATTTATTTCTTAATATGTTTTTCCCCAGACGGTGACAAGAGAGCAACTGGACGAAGCTCTACGCGACCTGCAAGATGAAGGGAAGGTGGTTGTCGTGAGTCACACCCACGTACGAGTCTGTTGATACCGCCTATATTATACAATGATAATGTTTGATTCCGATAATCTCTTAGTTCGTAAGATTCTGATTATGTTATGTCCAATAAAGGTGTTATATTTTTTATGTTTATTTATTTTGATGTTAAACATCCTCTTGAAGCAAATTTGAGCTAATGACAGCAAGATGACTGAAAATGTATTAAACTTTGTGAGTCACATGGCTATTCGTCAATTCAGAAGCGCATTGAAACAGAAACATAGCATATTCACCCTTATCTCCGCAGCATAATGCACATGTTCCTTCTGAGCTGATAATCAGCGGAATCCTTCTTTCTATTTCGGAAGGAATATGCACGTCACTTAATGTATTTTAAAGCACAGTGTGACCTAAACCCGCACTTTACGTACGCTTTTCCGTGACCTAAGTTGTCTATTTCTGCACGGTGTGTAAATGAATTGACCAACTTCACTCATGTAGAAAAAATAAAAGGAAACACATTTAAATGTCATTTGGAGCTTAAAAACTCACAGCAAACAAATGACAAATTAGCGATAGGTTAGGGATTTTCAGTGACAGCCAAAACAAGGAGAAACGGTTAGCTATTATTTATTCCGCGAGAATTGTATCTTTGTTTAATATATTGTTATGCCAATCAAGGAATAAACGTTCATGGATACATTGAAATTCTATTTTGTTGTGATGATATTTGATTTTTTCCTTTTGAAATATACTTTCAAAATGGTAATCTGAACCGGAATTCTTTCTTTTCAGAGTTTGACTTGCAGTCTGTATTGCAATTCTTTGTGATTGCAATACATGAATTTTACTTTCAAAACACTAATCGCATCCCCGAACCCCCCCTCTTGCCCGCGTCCGGGGCGGGTTTATGTCACACTTGCTATAAAATAGTATACGATACTTGTGGCCTAAGTTGTCTATTACTGCACGGCGATTAGCACCCTCGCAAGTTTCTGAAATTCGCTTCGATGTGCTTCGGCTGCGCTAGCAGGAATCCAAATTTGTGGAAATTTGCTGCAAGTAAAGCGGAATGAGCTCAACAGCCATTTTTTAAGCTTACGAAATTGAGTTCTGTGGAGCCATCTTAGAGAAGTACCTACTATAAATACGATAATCTTATTTCTTTTATTTTAATAAAAAATAATTGAAGCGGAAGAAAACAACGGCATGTAATAAATAGCTTTTATTCAAATCTTAGTTAACTTAGTGCATCAAAAAATCAAACATTAAAACAACGATCATTATCCGTCAAATCATTTTGTAATACAATATAACCTCATGAATACATACTTAATTGATGGGGAAACGTTTGGGGTCGCAATGACCAGAATATAATGTAGTGTGTGTTTATAATAGCTCTAATACTGTTTAAATATAAGAAATTTATGTTTTAAAATACCGCATTGAATTTGTGTCTAGTATTATGGCAATGTAACTAAGACTCTAACAAGGCACTTGAAATATATAACATAACTTTCGGCATAAATATAAAACCATATTTTCAATACTAAACTCGCTAATACGCCAAGCGATATGAACATTATTACGTTAATAATTATTTTTATCATAACTTTAATAGCATATATTTGTTATTTCAACAGTATATCATTAAAAAACCTCTTCAATATAATATCATCGGTGGTTTTAGTGATGCTTCATGTCTTTGTCAATAATTGTACACTAAAATGGCAGTTTCGTTTTATGAATAAGTCTTATGGAGAAAAGGGCAATAAGTATATAGATTACATGGACAAGTATCATATAAATCTTTCAAAACGCAATTATAGGTAAACCGCTTAACTGAGACCTCGCCTGATGCAGGGTATGGGATCGTGAGAGGTGAGAGGTGCGGGCGGCGGGCACTGATTAATTTGAAAACAATTAAACTATATTATTTTCATCATTATTAATATACACCAATCAACACTAGAATTTTCCAGGTCGTTGAAGTAAAAAGGTAACATACTATTAAGACTACCATGGATGTAAAAACACCCGGATTCAATTATTGAAGTAAAGAACATATGGAGCTATATCTGAGCTTCTATAATTTGTATGTTGCTGCTCTGGTTCTTTTGGTACATGAAGAACTACGGTACAATTGGAAACAACATTGACAAGAATGTGCCTGCCACCCGCACCTTTCTCGGTCCCCGTTTTCGTCCTCTCCCACTCTCTTTACAACGCAAGCGAGGACTCAGTTAAGCGGTCTACCTATAGTGACAAATCGAAGAAAATCACAATGGAAGTGACATCATAACTAGACTATTTCTTAGTGAAAGAAAATAAAATGGTTAGAATCTGGGAATATTGCAAAACTAAAATTATAAAAGGAATCATCTATAATCATAGTCCATAAATTATACAAAACCTTACAAATACTTTAATAAAAAATCGCTAAAGTAATATATAACTAATAAGCATTAACGATATTATATATTTATGAAAAATTAACAAATAACCTACAAAATATCTTAACTATTTGGTGCATGAAAATGGTTACTAACCTAGATTTCAACCAGTTTTGAATTAGGGCAACCGCCGCCAAGCAACAAAACAAATCAATGTAATAATTATTCAATTTATTTGGGCGCTTGTCAAAATGTAATACATTCATCACAAGAAAACAAAACAACAAATCACTATGTTAAATTATTCTATTAAAATAAACATTTGTTTGAAACTGTGCTTATACTGCATACACAACAACAGTACAAAGAACGTTGACGGAAACAAAACTGCTTTTGTGTCAATATGCGACAGCAGCGTATCGGATTCATACATCATGATTAGAAACACATATTTAACGTTTTTTGAAGAGGAGTGTATTGACATCCTAATAAGATATCGTACCACTTAACAATGCAGTCGAATCCATTAAGAAAACTTCATCGCTTTTATTTACCAAGTAACAAAGTGGCAATTAGGGCCGATTCGCACCGGAATAGCAGCGACCCACGCGCTGCGCATTTTCAGTGTGAAATATTTTTAAACTTTATCTACATAGTTAATAATAGTTTATGCTACTGTCATGTAAGAAGCCGTTTTAATACTTAAATTATATGCAGTTGCATACCCTACTTTATCTTCACTAATAGGAACAATTGAAATTAAACAATGTAACAAAATAGTATTTTGCGAATCTTTTCTGAAATGCCGAAAACAAAAAACGATCGGCTGAAAATGTTATGGGAGGTGCGAGAAATTAATTTCGAATGCGTGCGCCTATTTTTTTACATTTAGCCTAATACCATAGCCTAATAAATTAAAAAATAAGTTTACTATAATGATTAAGTTATTTTACGATACAAATTAAAAATAAAACTCATTGCAGTACTGCTAACTGCAATGAGTTTTATTTTTAATTTTATGCATGTGCGTTTATAAAGTACGTCTTTATAAAACCATCTTTGATTTCATAATTCGAATATTTCGACATGAGTGTAAATAGAAGAACGAAGAAAGAAGAATAAAAGTTCCAAGAAATCGCCCGGCCAGGCGCGATGTCATCCGCTCACGACGCCACGGGACCTCTTTAATTAAGATTTATTGATTAAGCCTCGATGACACTGGGGCTAGTTAACAAGCTGCTAGCGAACTAGCTGGCTTGTAAACTTGCTATGAAAATAATGTTTTATTGACCAAAAAGAATCAGTACAATTTGATTTCGTAACAACAACTTAGATTGTACCAAAAGTCGGTAGATAAAGTTTAGAAATATTTCACACTAGTCTACTTAGGTGATCTCCCGAGGTCTTCCGTTATCATATAAAAGTGTTTCTTCATAAGTTGAAGTTTAAATACTTTATTGGTTTGATTAAAATCATGTCAGTATTCGTAATTATAATAAATTATTCCTATAAAAATGAGCCCCTTCTTAAATAACGTACATATATAGTGCTACCGACTTATCTGTAGAATGAGCGATGGCGCCACTGTCGAAAAGTGTTGCCAGTTTGTACAAAAATAAACAACTCCAGCCTTTTTTAATACTTCTTACTAGATGATCAAATATTAAACACATGCATTTTTACTATTTTTTTTAATGTTCACTGTATTAATATTTAGTAAAATTACGTATCAATTAAAAATAGTTTGTTTTATTTAACATTACTTTTGAAAGGAGACCTGGATATTTTTTTTCCAAAGAAAAATATTACTTAGGTTGACATAATAAACTTTTGCGACATGTAGTGGATTTTAGCAAGTTATTTTTCTCATATCTGGCGGAGTTATTGAGATGGCCTGGAGACTTAAAATTTATTATTTATTAATTGTAAAACAACAACCTAAAAAAACAAACAGATCAAAATGGCGTCAGTAGTTCCGCTTTTTGCCGTTCTGCAGATAAGTTGATGTCACTGTACAGTTAGCATGCTGCTAACTGTACAGTCATTTTTTACTGCACCAAACCGAATTCAAGTTACAAAGCAGTCCAAGAAATTTGAATTTAACTTCAAATGCTTATAATTGTACATAAACTCAGTCTAGTAGGTACCCCGAAAATTTTACTATCATACAATGCTCTAATGAAGCGTGCCTGTATTTGAAAAGTTAGATATATATCACATATGTATAGATAATTAACTATTATTATAGAAGAGAACGGTATAAGCCTTCTGAAGTTCTAAGTGTAGTTTCACTATTGCTGTAAGAGTTGATGAAGTTATCTGCCGTTATATTGGAATTAAGGTCGCACCCTGAAATGTCACTTAAATTAAAGTTTGTTTAAACTTGAAGTTTTCATTTTGCGACAACGATAAAATAAGACAAAACGTCACTTTGATTAAATTGACGTTTCTGAGTGCGGCCGTCAGTTCTTGAGCTTGAGATATACAATATAACGGCAATTTATCACTCATCTTTCAGGATAATTAGACACCTGTTTTTATTCATGCATTTATTTATTCTAGACATACTGTAGTGGTTTGATGTATTTTGTAGTGATGTTAAGCTCCCATTTTATTGATTCGAAAATCGATAAAATTATATTGAAAAATGTCTCGATAGTCCTCGTCATAAAAAAATCGTGGAACCAATGAAATGGGCGCTAACATGACAGACTCGTTGAATTCGGTAACAAACTCAAGAGGTTATTTTAGGATGCTTAGCATGTGCATTGTTCATCAAAAAAGAAGCTCCATTTAAAAATTACCCATAACAATAAGAAGAATAAATCTCCGCCTGAGATTTAGATCTTACAATTTCCTCCCTTGTTTGGGAGAGTTCAAGCGATTATTGTCTTAAAGCCAAGTTATTCGTATTCCATTAGGACTGGAACCGCGTGGATTTTCAATTCCTATATAAATCATTTTCGTCTTTATTGCCGTCGTTGAGAAGTATCGTGTAGGCTTAGGTTTTGTGGTGTTTGTAGAACATTTTTCGATAACTATCACCGTCCCGTTATTCATAACTATTAGCCTTACCACAAAAAGATAGTTGAGCGTTAAGAACAAAATGTCATACAGAATTTGTGGTTTTAAATGGTATCAAACTTTTTTGTGGAACAGCCATTAGTTTTCATACACATGAAATGTCGAGACAGTTACGCCCTTTTTAAGGGATGTGGTCTAGAAACTAAAATGGACCAAGGATCCTGAAAAGTGCCTAAGACGTACGTATTAAGTAAAAATTTGAATAATACGACCTATCTATCCTGTGTTAAAGCTTTTATAAACTATAAGCGTGACGCTCACAAAGATAACTTCTCATTGGACGGCAACATTATTTTCTATGCTCTCATTGGTCAATATCAAGAGGCAGGCGTTGAGTTAGTGGCAGATGTTGTATCACTAACATTATTTCTTTCTGTAGCTTTCATTTCTTTAGTAGTTGTTTCTACTGCGTTCTCGGTAGATGTCGCTATGGCGTCGCGCGGATCGTACTCGTCTGCGCGCGAGCAAGCTTCTAGCACAAACTTGTTGAAGAGGTCTGGTTTGTCTAAATACAAATGGTGGCCGGCTCCGTTGATCACCTGTTTAAAATGATAGTGTGAGTTCAAGTCCTCTAATTTAACGGTTTTTTTTAATGTGAAAAGAAGCTAGCAATGTTCCGGAACCAAATCAAATATATATTTATTTTCCATCACAACAGAGATTCATAGTTTGTCTTGTTTTGCAATTTAATGTTGTGGCTCCTCTATTGGTGATGAACTGGTGCCTGAAATAGGTTTCAGCAATAGAAACGTATGCTACGGGTCACCAGGCCCAATCACAGATAGCAAGACTTCTACGGTGGATACAATACCATCGGACAGTTCAAATGTATACATTGTTGTTTCAACAGCATTGAATAGAAGAAACAATAATAATAATAACAATAAGCATAAGAAAAGCTATTCTATCTAATAGGAAGCTAAAACATTATCCAGTTTCTAAAAATAATAACCAAAAGCTGCGTGTATGTGCGACTTCGTTCGTTATGTGTATGTTACATGTATGCAGTATAGTGTATATCTATGTGTGTGTGTGTGTGAGTGTGTGTGTGTGAGAGAGAGAGTATGTGCAGTCGTGTGTGAATGTAGCAGAGGCGAAATTAAAATCTTACGTGATAACTACGAATATCATCATATTTGCAACCTGCCTATATACCTTAGAGAGCTTAATAAGAATAACACTAGCCCGATGCCTAACCCTAATTGTTACATTACTAACGAGCTTTGGAAGCCTAACTCGCTGTTGAGTTATAAAAAAAAATGTTTTATTTCTATGATCTTTACCATGCATCTGGTTACTTAGATAAAGGTAGGCTCTTTTTTTTAAGTGTAAAGACACCTGTACCAAAAAGAAACCACTCTTTCATAGCATGAGTTACATTATGGTAAAGTCATTCATTTTATTATGATTAATATATTATAGTGTGAGTTACACCACAGAGCTAGTTAAAGTTAAATTTTACTAAGAATTTACATAGCAATATACTTTAAAATAAGTTGGTGCAACTCACGCTAATCAAAGCACTTCAAAATTACACAAGAATACAATTTAAACTTACTCAGCGGGGTTTTTGTGCATGTGTGTGTGTGTTTGTACATATAGACATATATATATATACATATAAACTAGTGATCGGATAATCGGATGCATACTTAGCTACTGTTGAGATGTTGATCTTTTTTATCGAAAAAAACCCGCGATTCCGGGAATTTCTAATTTAACTATATACTCCGTGAGATTTTACAAACCCATTTTGAAACTAACGACAGTTGCCCTGTACGAATAATATAAAAATATTGTGTAAGTTGTCCCTAATGAATAAATAAATTTATATTCATTCGACCTCCGTGGCCGAGTGGTTTGTACGCCGGGTTTCATGGTGTCGCCGGCCCGAGAGGTCCTGGGTTCAAATTCCGGTGGGGGCAGATGTTTGTGTGATAAATACGAGTATTGGTACTCCAGTCATGAATGTTTAATATGTACTTTGGGGCTAGGCTAATTGGTGTGAGTGTTGGAACTATTTACTTATTTATGTTTTCTTATTAACCACAGTACCATTTCTCATATATACACTTTACCGATCGAATGGGAAATTTAACTTTAAGTAAAACAACATCTGATTAGTTATGCGATCCCGAAATCCCAGGATTCAATTTTTAATAAAAATATCCTAAGAATAAATTATAATATGTTAGCCAAAAAATCACTTTAGGTAAATATGCATGCGATTATCCGATCTCCGGTCATAACATTTTAAGCAAGTTGTGGCTAGTTAAATAACTTTCGGTAAAATAATCTACGGTATCACTAATTATCTCTTATCTATTAGACAAGTCCGTCCGTCTGTGGTGCTGTTTCAGCGGCCAAACCATAAGAGATAGATAAAGAGAATATTTAAGTTATAAGTTAAGAATAGTCTGATAAGACTACAAACCAGATTTGAGTAACGTAGCACTTCCGGTTTTCGAGAAAGCAGGTTTTGGTGAACATTTGGTTCACTGGTTTGCTAGTGTATTATTATCTTAGTATCCTATAACACAATCCTTACAGGGCTTACTTATTTGTGTGTGTATTATGCTGCGGTTCCACTTCAGCGCAGAACAGGAGGCCTACTAATTAAACGAAATTTCGACAGTAACTTGGCACTTTTCTTACTATGTTTCTGATTTCTTGATGTGTAACATCTTTCCTTTCGCTTTCGCGCTATTTGTTTGAGTGATTTCGTGTAGTGGGCGGAAGTGTGTAACAGGAAGTTTGGGAAGCGCGCGCTATTTGATTTGATTTTAGAACATAATGTTCAAATGGCTTATTCCTTTTGTAGTAGGTTTTATTTCTTTTTTTACTAATATAAGGTGAGGTTTCAAATGTTACACATCATACGCGACTACTGTAAGCCTCGCTCATTTTTTTTTAAATTATAATAATATTCGTCGTCGGAATATAGACGAAGGTGTAAATTTTCTAAGCCTACTTAACGAAAGCTTCTATTTCATAGTTTATCGTTCAAATTGAATATAATCTTAAATTGACGAAATTAAATTTCATTTGAACTTCGTTATCGAAAGTTCGTTTCGGAGAAAGAGAGTAGACTGGACCCCTGTTCTGAACCAGCAACATTTGTTCCAGCAAATTAGTGGTAGCTTAAATCTCCGATACCACCTAGGTTGACTGGAAGAGGTCTCTTTTAGAGGTAAGTCCACCTTTGCTTACTACTTAGCTTACGTTGTATACTTGTTTTTTTTATACAATAGAGAATATAAGAAATGGAATGCTCAGAGCAATCGTTCGATCGCCGTTGCGTTGTTCCATTGTCGATTGAGCAAGAGAGCATTCGTTCACCGAGTCCAGTCAAACATCGGTGAACGAACTCTTTCGATCGCTCTGATGTTTCCATTTATTATTATTTATTATTGTTGATCGCTCGCTCAGCAATGTTCTGAGCACGAACTGGAATTAGAATTGTTTATTATTATTTTTAAAGAGAGAGAGAGAGGAGATCGATAGCGTATTCGGCTGCGATCGTTGAAGTTAAGCAACTTTCGTAGTGGTCGGTCATTGGATGGGTGACCAAAAATTTACTATCTCGAGCTCCTCCGTGCTTCGGAAGGCACGTTAAGCCGGTGGTCCCGGCCACATCTGCAGTCGTTAGCACCCACCCATCCGCACTGGGCCCGCGTGGAGGGTCATAGCCCAATCACCCTATTCCTTCCATAGGGAAGGCCTCTGCCCTAACAGTGGGGTCATTATTAGGCTGATGATGATGATGATTATTAAAGATGAATTTACCAACCTGTATAATGTCCCTATTCCATCTATAGGGAAGGCCTCTGCCCTAACAGTGGGGTCATTATTAGGCTGATAATGATGTTGATTATTAAAGATGAATTTACCAACCTGGACGTAAGTTTTGTTCGATCGCCGCTGCTCAGAAAACACCTGTTCCGTGCAATTCTCGACCCAGGAGCGGGCACCGTATAAGACAGTGACTGGGATAGCCTTATCCAATTTGTCGATCCGCCTCACCATGGGGTTCTTCGCCCATCCCAATGTGTCCATTAGGGAGTGGAATGCGCTTTCACCGCTGGAAACAAAAATTATAATAACCGCATTGCTATATAGTAATTAAATTAAATATTTGTGCAACAGGTTAGAATACCTATCTATACATATAATAAAATGGTAGGAAAGTCAAAACTGTACATTGTATTTAAAAAAGAATGGAAAATCCAAAAGTGCACGCCTCACATTCACGAAACAGAAACCCAATAAATAAATTCCATTGAATTTCATTAATATCTTTAAAACGGTTATCAGATATCAATTCAAAAGGATTTATTTCAATTAATTGCGTATATTTTTCTAAAACGTGCAGACAAACAAGTGCACACACCAACGGACAGCAGTACTAATAATTTTTTAACTACATTTTTTTGTTATTTAAACTACAAAAATAAATGAAAAAATACGCTGACTTTATAATTTAATATGTCTAGTTTTCAATCACAAACCCTTTTTATTGATTTAGTGTTTAATAAATCGTCTTTTAATTGAAAATGCAGGCGTCTGGCAGCTGAATATGAATAGATGATCTACTCCGCTTATAATTGAGGAGCTCGATGGCGCCCAAGGTGACCCAAAATCTTCAATCTCGAGTTCCTCCGTGCTTCGGAAGGCACGTTATGCCGTTGGTCCCAGCTGCATCTAGTCGCTAGCACCCGCCAATCCGCGCTGGGCCCGCGTGGTGGTTGATGGCCCAATCTCCCTATTCCATCCATAGGGAAAGCCCAGCAATGGGGAGATTAATAGGCTGATGATGATAATGTACTCCGCGTGCCCGTGTCCACTTCGCGCAGATGCGCAGTTCATTTCCTGGAACTTCCTGGACTGAACATAGAACTTGCTTATGGGTTTGCACCACGTTCAAGGAAGGAATAGATCACAGGTATCTCATCTACAAACCTAAAACTTTCCGTATGTTCGTAGGACCGACTGGTCGTTTATATACTCCGGTAAAACCGTGTCAGCATCACGTACATAGTTGGCAAACTTTCTAGACAGATAAGGGGGCCAATCGCCTAACGGGATTGCTATGGCTTTCGCTTTAGCTTAAATTTCATTTTGTTATTTATAACTGCCGAAGGTTTTCCAATGCTCCGCGCTCTTTTTTATTCTTTTGTATTGTTAACAACAATATGAAAGAAAATGAGCGTAAGGTATTTGAAAACCTTTAGCGGTCAGAAATAACGAACAAAAATGGTAAGCTATAGCAATTCCGTTAGGCGATTGATCTGCAGAATGTGTCTTGTTCAGAACCCACAAAACCTAATACTTGTCTGGCTGCTGGCTTGTCTTGTCTGGCAGCTGGCTGACTACGTAGATGGTCTCAAACACAGGAAATTCTTACCTAGGCGCCTGCGAGTTGCACTGGTCTAATATATACTCCGGTATAACTGTATCCGCGTCGAGAACATAGTTGGCAAACTTCCTGGGCAGATCTTGCTGACGAGCTTAACATGATAGATCCAGATGCTGTAGGAGCATACCTCTAATACTTCTAATATGCTCGAAGGACCTCAGAGATCGACAAAACGACAAGTGAAACGAAATTATGGTATTCTCACCTAGGCGTCTGCGAGTTGCACTGGTATATATACTCCGGTATAACTGCGTCGCGAACATAGTTGGCAAACTTCCTGGACAGATCTGATCGTGCCTTGCTGACGAGCTTAACATGATAGATCCAGATGCTGTAGGAGCATACCTCTAATACTTCTAATATGCACGAAGGACACAGTGATCGCCAAAAGGAAATGATGGTATTCTCACCTAGGCGTCTGCGAGTTGCACTGGTATATATACTCCGGTATGACCGTATCCGAGTCTGGTACGTAATTAGCGAATTTCCTAGACAGATCTGGCCGTGTCTTGCTAACAAGCCATTTGCCAGCGGGTCCGGCCGCGCGGACAGCCCACAGCGGGTTTAAAGGCTGAAGGACCATCGCCAGTCCACGCACCCATAGACCTAGCTGGTACTTCTCGTAAGGATTCTGAGGTTTCTCGGGGAAACCCCACGCGTCAGCCAAGACTAGGTGACGTACTCTGTCAAGAGAATGGTAGTAATAAAATATATGAAATTAATTAAATATAACGTTCTACTTTTGAGGAGCTCGATGGCGCAGGTGATAAGCGCGTTCAGCTGCGATCTTTGAAGTTAAGCAACTTTCGCAGTTGTCGGTTATTGGATGGGTGACCAAAAATTTTCTATCTCGAGTTCCTCCGTGCTTCGGAAGGCACGTTAAGCCGTTGGTCCCGGCTGCATCTGCAGTCGTTAGCACCCGCCAATCAGCCCTTAGCCCTCGTGGTCCACCCACAATCTCCCTATTCCATCCTTAGGGAAGGCCTGTACACCAGCAGTGGGGGCATTAATAGGCTGATGATGATGATGACGTTCTACTTTTATTCTAAGTTCTTAATAAGTGTGCAAAGTTTCAATTCTATTTGACGTTTTGTATTTAGTGAAAATCACGTCCATAAATTCAATTACATACAGGTGAAGCTAATAAAAACATATTTAAAATGTACTATTGTTTTTACTTCTAGAAGATTTTTTAGCTCGTATTACTCACCTTTCCGGGTACCTCATGGCGTAGGCGGTGGCGATGTACCCTCCCAGGCTGTGGCCGAGTAGGATCATCTGATTAATGTTAAGTTCCCGCCGCCACTCCTCTACCGACTCCACCCACTGGGACTCCACTTTCTCGGCATTGCTGGCGAACTTAGGACGCGAGCTGCGACCGAAACCTGATACAAGAAAATAAAGAACATAAATAACAAATGTTCTGTTTTATCTATAACTAGTGGCTCGCTTCGCTTCGGTGTAGAGCTGTAGTGTAGACTAAAATGACTCTTCATATAATTATGAAAAAAAAAACTGAAAAGGGTATATTTGCCTTTTCCAAACTTCTATTGACATCACGTCACTCAATTGTTTTGTCTTCCCGGAACCTCTCCACTAACATTTGAAAGGACAATGGCGAAATATTTGTTGAAGTAAATCTTTAGCGTCTATAGATGTTATTATCAGAAAAGTTAATAAAATAATCTCAAAAGATTTATTAAACAATTGAGGAGGGTTGTCTAAGTCTGGAATCAAACACTTGAAAAAGGGAGACACAATTGACTATTTATTTATTTTTTTATTGTGGCTTGGCTTCAAGGCTTTTGAGCCATTTATTTTAAGTGATTTTAGTGATGAAATCAACTTTATATATGTTGTTCGTATGTTTTGCATAGCTTTACGCTTAAACTGTATTTAATTATCTCTCAAAAATATCGGGAAACATTATTTTTTAATATTATACTGAAACCGGAATAAAAAATCTCCACAATACAAAAACAGTATGGCGCCAATTCTAACGCAAAAAACTATAAGTGTCACTGTCATGCTTGTCATCCAATTGTTGTTGTTATTTTTATCATTATCGTTGCTTGTGCTTGTGCATAAGTGCATGCGTTTCCAAAGATATATTTGTAAATCGGCGTATTGTGTTTTTTCTGAGATTTGATGTGACTTGGACTGCATTTGCACAACCGAAATATTTCCCTGCGACTGTTGAGTAGTGCTTGCCTAAGACTTCCGAATCTGATATTTTGGACGACTTCTTGCTGTGGATTTTGGACATGATTCTGTCCCATACTGCGGATTTTATTTCATTGTATCCTAAGATTGTATCTACTATCTACGATATTGTGATCAAAGATGTGGGATAAAAAATATATAAAAAGTGTTTCATATTTAATTAATATCCCATTAGTACACTATTAGAAATTATCAAAGGATTTCTACAATACAATACAAAACTTTTTATTTTTTTCATACTTTATTATTGCTGTGGGCATTTCAAATTGTTAAGTACTTCTTACAGCACAGACATTGTATTCGATCTCAATAACCCATGTCTGTTAAGTATTATTAAGTATTTTGACGCGGTTGGTCAGTACCTACGCCCACTGATCATACATTATAAAATACATTTTTTTGTCACTAATCTACGGGACCGGTATACTTCTTAGTTCCGTTCCACGTACTTTTTTATTTTGATATAAAAATACTCTTGAAAATACTTTTCTATTTCTTTTTTATATTACTTGTTATGACATAACCTCCAAAACTTCAAAGTAGAATATCTATAAATCCAGACTTCCTGTAATAAAAGAAATAAGACGAATCAAATCTAGAATCTAAACTCTATCATTTAATATGCAATTCATATATAGACGCAAAAAAAAATTTCAACAAAAATTTGTATGGGAGTTCGCCATTGTCCTTTATGGTATGGTATTAAAGTTCAAATTGACTTTAAGTATTATTACGAATCGTTTGTATGGGAGTATAGAAAAGTGTTGTTTTTGGACTTTTTCTGGCATTTTTTAAATTTTTCTCTGCGTAAGAACCATCCTCGTCCTTCAAGGAATATTTTAAAAAAGAATTATCGAAATCGGTTCAGCTGTTCTCGAAATTTGCGCTTAGCAACACATTCAGCGATTCATTTTTGAAGTTATACTTCTTTAGGCGCGTTATGAAAAAATGATGAGAGTGAAATTTTAAGATGCGCGCGCATCACTGTAACACAAAATTTTAACAGCATGAAGTTGGTCGCTTTAACGACCAACTTCATGCGTTACTTTTGTGTTTACCGCACATTAAGAAAATCTACCAACAAAATAGAAATAGAATCTCTATTTAGTGGGTGCTAACGACTGCATTGTGAAGGCCTATCAAAAGTATTTATTAATCTGGAACAACGGAACCAAAGCGCGATTCAGGAGACTACAGCGCCATCTCTTGACCATTGGTGTAGTAGAACCAAAAACCACATCTTTATTTTTTGTAATAAAGTAACAGTTATAGGTATTCATATTTATAATATTTATCCACATGTTTCTAGTTTGTATATTTGGAATACGTGTTTGAGTTTCATACAAGTGCAAATCACATATGTTCTAATAAATTATATTCAGTAGCGATTTTAATTGAATATTTTGATTATTTATTTATTTTTTCAAATTAAAACTGAACTTTATTGACTGTGTCCTTTTCCAGACTTTTTATTAATTATTTGCATGCAATTAAAAACTAATTATAAACGATGCCAAAGAAGGATAACTTCTCACGCGCCTACATAAGTACACGCACCCATTTTTTTATATTATAGAGGATACCACATGACATGAATAAAAAGGGCGCAGAGGCAGAGCTTTATCCAGTGCGTTTTTTATATTAAAAGGATGGTAAACAAGCATATTGTCTGCCTGATGCTAAGCGGCCCATATTGCCACATCGCTCGCAGGAACCCTGAAAGCCTAGAGAAGCTGATGGCCAGGTCGACGAGAAGATCACGCGGTCGGTCCCCTACCCGCTGGTCAGACCTAGTAAAGTCGCTCACTAGCCTATCAATAACCAAGGCTATAAAGACCGCCGAGGACACGTTGACTGCATGAAGCGTGCCTTCTTTAATTAGTGATAAGACCGCCTTTACCCACCATAGTTTACTATCTGTTTTTGTAAGCCCTTTCATTGTGAATACGTGAGTGTGAGTAGTAAAGCGTATATCAATTTATCTACTTTTACATAAACAAATAAAGCCTATTAAGCCTGCCTGTACATCAGTGCATTCGCCCGCTAGCTTGTTCGCTGGTTGCTTCGATTCCAGCCTTGATACCTGCCCCCCTAAACATGAGCACCGCGATATGATATTTATCGCGTTTTTATCACGCTCAATTGTCAAATTACTATGGAGTTTGACAGTTAGACGCGATAAAACACGTGATATAATGTAAATCGTGGTGCTCATGCTACGGGGACGGTCCCCGAAAAAAGACTTGAATATCGGGCAGATATTCAAGTCTTTTTTTTACAATTTACGCAAATGCTCAAATTCTTTGTATATAATGTTGTTTTAATAGACATTAGGAATGTCCTGACGTTGACATAGCTCGGGTCTAAGATTCTCTTTGGGGACAACAAGTTACCGACGGACAATAGTTGCAGAACTTATGAGTAATTGGTGTTACTGTAAAACAATCTTATAGTAACCATATTAGGCTGCAAGTAACTACATACTATTGTATGGTTCAAAATCACGTGAGCCTTGACGCAACGCACAAAAATCCGTTCAAAAAACAAATCATTAATTCTAGCTAGAAGATCAATTAATTACCTAAGTAACACTTACACATTCTATTAAAATAAAATCGATTGTAAAACATTAATCCAGCATGTAATTAGTTTTAGGAATTATATATTATAGAAATTAAGTTAAGTCATTATAGTGAGGCGATCCATTGTGGTCAATTAATTGTATTACTATTTTAACTATCCACGTTGTTTAAATACGGCCAGACGACGCGGTCAGTTGCTTTCTGTTGTGAGTGATGACGTAATTCTTAAAATTTAATGTAAAAGTGACTTTGCCGATATATAGATGACTAATTTGCTAATCTTGACATGAAGGTTCTTTGTTATCTTTTATAGTCAATAATATTCCGTTTAATGATTGCGTTGAGTTAATGTTATACTTTGGTACTTAAGTTCTTATGAATGAAATAAAGCGGATATCAAACGTAAGTGTCGCCGTACACGGGCCACCGACCACAACCACAAAACGCCGCCACCGGCATATTTCTTGTAGTTTTCATACATTTTATATGGACTCGCTACACACGGTACGCCGGTAGCCGACACACGCTACAAATAGTCGTTGCTCGCTTCTTGTGGCCCGCACCGGCCACTTAATGCGCCGATACAAAACGCCGCCACACGTCACTCGCGCGATTCCCCACCCCTCTCTCCCTTACCTTAGTCGGCCGCTGTCGCGCGCTTCAGCCACTTTAGTAGCCGCTTCTAGTTTCTCGTGGCGGCGTTTGTGGCTGTGGCATGTGGCCCGTGTGCGGCCACACTAAGTGTTACAATTGTTCAATCTTTGAAGACACAGTGGACATAGTTCACTTAACTTAAATCTGAATTCGACAGTAATCTTTGCTTTTCAGTCTATATACGTATCCCTACGATTAGTATACTCACCATGGAATCGTGGTATTACAAGAATACCAAAAAATAAATTTATCTCGAATAGTGCCCAGAGGATTTGTGCACGGGCCCTGCCTTGTGACTCACGGACCCTATATTCCCTCTGCCTGAGTGCCTTACCCGGAACACGGCGAAGGCAGATAGATAGACAAATAAAATATCGACTTTACCTAGCAAGTCTATAGCGTAGACCAGAGGGCGATACCAGCCCCAGGACTAGACTAATTGGTGTGTTAAATAAAGGTTTTTGTCGAGAAAGTCTATAGCGTAAATCGGCCTGGGGGCCATTCGCCTAACGGAAATGTTTTGGAAAACGCTAACGCTTTCGATTTTTTAATTTTGTTATTTCTGACCGCCGATCGCCGAAAAAAATGAGGTGGGGTATTTGAAAACCTTCGGCGGTCAGAAATAACAAAATTAAAAAATCGAAAGCGTAAGCGTTTTCCATAGCATTTCCGTTAGGCGAATGGCCCCCTGGTGGCAGCAAAGTTGACGACCTGCGTAGCCGAGTGGTTTGTACAACGGGTTTCAAGGTGTCGCCTGCTCGAGAGGTCCCTCCCGGGTTCGTAACCCGGCGAGGGTAGATGTTTGCATTTATACACATTTATTACAGCATTTATACTCCAGTCATGGATGTTTAATATGTAATTCTATATAAATATACTTATATATGGATCAGTATATGTATTTCGTTACCCTAGCACCGCATAACACAGGCCTACAGTGCTTGCTTTGGGGTTATGCTAAAAACAATAAAAAAAACATATCCAGGTTCGACTCCAGCGCTGGGGCTAGGCTACTTGGTGTGTTAAACAAAACTTTGCCTAGCAAATCCATAGCATAGACTGGCTTGTTGGCATTTTTTGTTCTACCTTTCCTATATACGCTACGGCTACACACACAAACTATATCAAATGTACGTCATAAGCAGTGAGGCAGTTAAAAGTAACAAAAAAATAAGGTAAAAATAAGGAACTATAAGAATCAATTATCGACTTTACCTAGCAAATCCATAGCGTACACTGGCCTGGTGGCGGCGAACGCGTCCAGGTTCGGACACCAGAGTGCGACACCAGCGCCCATGCCATGCAGCATCACCAGCGGTGTCTTCGGTGACTCGTTGTTTAACGATATGGTCCATATCTTGTCGCTGCTCCCGACCACGGAGCCGATGTCCACGTAGAACCGTTTGTACGTAGTCTTCAAACCTGAAAAACTTAGAGTTAGGTTAAACTTATCTAAAAATAACACTTTTTAAATGGGTTTGGGGAACTATGCTTTTAAATATTTTACATATTCCCTACTTTCCGATCACGGGTTCAGTGATCACGTGAAAAAAGTTTATATTAAAAATGAGATGAATAACATAAGTTTTGAGGCGGTCAGCGTATGTGATAACATGTTATTTTGTGGCTGAACACAATTAAGGCTCCCACATAAAACAGCGATCCGATAGGACGTCGTATCGCAGGAACTTACGATGCGATTTTGGGCGGCAAAGATTTAGTGTTATTTTACTGTGATATTTTGTATTTGTAAGGCGTAGGTTACTTCCTCACACGGGCGCTCGATAAGGCAGAAATATACTTATTTGCCGTGCTGTGTTCGATCGGTTTCATATATTTAGTACGGTTAAAAATTTAAAACTATACTTGTTTATCGCGATGCGTCGAAACCATTCTCACTTTAACCATACTAAAGGCGGAAACATATTTACATATATCGTGGCGTGTCGTGACGTGAAAGAAGCACATCGGATTCATACATTTATTGTGGTTAAAGACATATTTGTAGGCCGTGCCGTGTCGTGTTTTGTCATGGCGCCGACTGCTTACCACCGATGACGCCAGAGCGGTGGTGGGGATTTATGACGCGACACGACACCACATGCAAATGTGTTACTATACCGCGTGTCTCATGGTGTGAGTTTCTGAAAAATTATTGACGAACTCACTGAGTTTCTACGTCAAAGAAAAGTTTTATATGACACGAAGTGTAAAGAATAAAAGGATCATTTAATTACACATGCTGCTTGGGAAGAAATCGCTGAGATATTAAATATTAACCCAGTACAATTTTTTTAATTTTTTTGGTCCAAAAAAAATTATTGCTAAGAGAAATTGAAGATCTTCATTAAAATCACTATCCAAATCAGAAGAAAATATTCTGATATCTACTGCTGAGAAATAACGCCAAAGCACGCCACGCCATGACACATTAGGGTGCAAACTCGCCTACTACGGTAACATAATAATACATAGTTCGACTACGAATTCCGGGTTTATATCAATCTGATGATTTCATAACGTTATCTAATTCTGCATCTCACGATGACATCACATTAAAATTACTACGAGTCCAATTTAGTTGGAACTTTGTACACGGTATAATTATCACCACAATGATTCGGAGTCGATTCAAGGGTAACAGGGGTCGCCAGGTAATGAACAATAATTGGGGAAGTTCGAGTCAGATGTTATTAAAGAAACAGGTATATCTTATGACAAATAATGGTAAACAATAACATCCAAAAAAGGTAAATACTATCGAAAACCTTTTAAGTAGAAGAGATTAATTCGACTTTGCTTAAATAAATTAATAAACATACATGTAGACAAACCTTTTTTTATGTCTGGAAAATGCGTGACCGCAACCCTCGTCCACCCGGGAGAAAGGTGAACAATGCTCTGAGGGTTCCTCCAACTGGGCCCATTGAACTGACAAGGCTCTACCCAGTAAAAATCAGACAATACTCGCTGTCATTTCATCGGGCCCTCAAACTGGGTGGGCGAGGGTCGGTTGCGGTCACGCATTTAAGGATATGACAAAATATGGTTTATCTAAATCTATGTTTATTAATTAATTTAACTTCTGCCCAGTCACCCGACACGCACTCTGGGACACTCGCGGGACCGAGGTCCCCCGAATGCGTGTAGAGAGTGCGGGCGCAGTGTTGGTACCCCGTAAGGACTGGCTGGCCACGTACAGACGTAGTTAAACCTACGTTAGTTACTATGTATTACATTTAAGTACTACGTAACCACGTTTGACTGTTTTAAGTCGTAGAGTTGAAAGAAGGTTAGAAGAGTTACAGACTGGTTAGAGTTATAGTAATATAAGTTATTTACGGGATTGGTACCATGTACCTTGTTTTTAGCGAGTTTCCGATATTTCGGCACTGTTGCAAACGCCATGATCACGGAGTAACGGAGTTACGGACGAACGGGTTTGGAATGGAGTTGCTCCGTGATCATGGCACTTGGCGAAACTCGCTAAAAACAAGGTACATGGTAACAATCCCGTAAATAACTAATATTACTATAATGTTAGTGACCATGAAAGTTTAAAACAATATATGGTTAGAGTTAGTTTTAAATATTAATATTATATTCATTGGAGGTGTAATGAATATTTCTAGATAATATTCCATAGACCTTCTACCCGATCCGATGATCAATAATCAACTAAGAATGTCACACTGACTGTGTCAGCGGCGAAAAGAAAAATAACCAATCGATGGACTACGACTGCCTATAAAAAAACTGTTACTCTAAATATATAATACAATAATATAAATATATAGGTACTCTAAATGTGCGTTCAGGCTATACTAATTCTGCTATAAAATATAGTATAGCGAGGTGTGAACGTGTTGTACGCAAATATATAGCGCGCGATATTGTCGTGCTATAAGCTAATAATAGTATAGCGTAGTCTGTACGCACCTTTAGTGGGTTAGAATACGCTATACTCTTATTAGCGTTTTAGAGCTTCTAGCATTCAGCACATTAAGGTGACAAATTATAGGATACAACATTAGTTTTATATCGTAAATATACATCCTGGAAATCCGTGAGATAAGAGTTCAATGCATTTATCATTAAATAAATTACGAAAAATACGGTTTATATTTCTCTTTTTATACTGCAAAGTAGAAGAAAAACTGGTTAAATCATACACTAAGAAAAATATTCCATAAAAGTCCCACGCTAAACATTTAGCTTTAAAACTTTCTGATTAAAATTAACTTACTGAATTCCCATAAGCAGATATTCCCATAAAAAAATAACAATAAATTCATAGTTACTAATACATATAGCATTAATACTTTGTTCAAGTTTGTGCATTAAAAAAATTTAGTTTGGCTATTTTTATTAAACTGCAAAATCGGAAAGAAATATTATAACGCACATAAATATAAATGATCATAGTGTATACTTACATGACAATATTCTTTTTTCAATGTTCCGTAGCATTTCATCGGACTGGCGAGTCCAACTGAACCAACCACCAGTAGCCCAGCTAAAAGTGATAAACATTTTTTATTATGAGTTTTACTCAAAGAGCAACTAATTTTATTACACACATAGCACTTAAAACCAAGCAGTTAGCCATAAAAAATAAAGGGAGTAATCATGCAGATCCACTTTAAAACAAAGTAACATAGTTTATTATTTTAAAGAAATGTCTTTAATTATAAAGATTTTTAACTTAGGTACCTAAAGATTTTAATACTATCATTAGTGAAATATTAGTAGGTAATTAAAAAAAAACAGTTCAAGCAAACAAAAACTAGAAAGCCAGCTGGAAATTGGAGCAAATCTTACTTCCATACGGATAAGACACTTCCAATCCATGATTGGCTTACTAAACTGAAACCCAAAAATTATAACATCAAATGCATATTGAATTTATGTACTCTTTTAAATAAATTGATTCCTGGCCCATTGTTGCCCTAATGAATCTGATAATGATGATAATTTAACTGTCAACATTTTATAATGTTGAAATAAATTAATTATTACAACTTCTTATAACAAGGAGATTGTATTCATATTTAATTCAATCAAAGGTACTTGAAATTTAACCTTTGTTATTATTGAGTAGATCATCTTATAGATTATATTAGAGTATGGTTTGAATTTTGAAATGACTTAAAAAAACAGCTGCTCTGATAAAAAACTATTCTATGTAAAATAAAGGCAACATTATGACATGGGGAGTTGGCAATACCATCATGTAAATTAAGATTGTTCAAATAAATAACAACAAATTTATAGGGATACACACATTTAAGCAAAAGTCAATGTTGTTGTTTTGGATTTGTTTGAAGAAAATGAACTTTTGGTGGGTCAGAAATCATATGGACTTGATGGTAATTTCAACAAACTGAATTAATTCATAAAATTCATTTTTAATATCACACAAATTATTCAGGGATCATGTTTACTAAAAACTCTGTAAGAGTCTAGATTGCCTAGGCTATCAAACACTTCTGAAGTAATTTGCTAACTTAAACAAGTAAATTGTTTATCTAATGTATTTTGAAACCGCAGGTTCTCCTAGAATTAGGTATCATGGTATGTTTAACAAGTAGTAACAAACACTATTTATTGTTTTACTTTCATAATTTAATAATTGACTTGAAATCTGATTCCAGGAAAAATATCAATCAATATCATTAAATATTGAACATAGCACAAGAACGGGTTCGTTTTGTAAAAAATAATTAGTTTTAAAAATATATTATGGGGTGATTAATTAGTTCAATGTTCAAGAGTAAAGCCTACATGACTAAAACACATACAACAGACTAAATGTAAAAGCACTAGCACTTGCTTGATGAATCCCATTGATGATGGCTTTTTATCTGAAAGAACATCAGAAGTATAATAGCACTTAGAATTACTAACAGCCTTGGTAAAATATTGAACTTATCCAAATAAATAATAATAATCTGCCTGCTGTACTTAACATTTGAACATGAACTCTGAATGAAAGTGCAAGTAACAATCACAAAAATGCGCAAATTAATGGGTCTCCAGACAATATATTATTACACATTCACATCATATGAAAAAATACGCATCAAGCAACATACTGCAATGACTTTTTTTTAAAAGCAAGTTTTGTTTATGGTTATAGCGTGCATATTCACCTTAAAATGCTGATAATGAGATGGAAAATGAACAAGGCAAGCTTACTCCAAATGTAAAACAACACATGGATTCTTGGCATAACAGAGAGAATAGTGTATTCCTATAAACATAGAAAACATCTGCTTGTAACACGATAAAAATACGCAGTGATTTGACGAAATTGCGCAATAATTTTGAAAATATTTATATTCTCTATAAATACCTGGATTCCGGGGTCTGAATATTTAATTCCTTATCCATTTGATCCTGCGCAACTAAATGTATATGTACACTGCTCACAACAACAATAAATTTAATTTACAATTTTACATGCAGACGAAAAAAACACTCCGAAACTAAATTACAATAAAATATAAATTGAAATGATAAATTTTGTGTCATTCACAACATTCGGCTGTCACGCTGTCAGTGTCAATTTAGTGTCAATGTCAATGGCAGTCGTCATAAACGTTTTGTTTCTTCCGGTTTCGGACATTGCCAGAATCGTAGTTTTCATCAAGTTGTATCTTAGAGCATATACCTAAGAGTTGTATTGATATTGTTGGTATCGATTCTGGTATGATTATCTAAACTGAATTATACATCAGTCTCTCTTTCCATTCTGAATGGAGAATGACAAGAATACACTATTGTATTGGTTTAGAGAATCTTACCAGAATCGATACCTCTGTAAAATTTATGATTTTGTATGAACTTTTTTATGCCCGTTTTTCTCCACAGCTAAAAAAATTAAAATAATACAAAAATGTGGACGATTCAGAAGTCGCATTGTATTATTCTTCCAATTAAAGACAAACATTTTGACTTCACACCTCAAAACTACTGCTATGAAAATCTATTTTCACATAGAACGCACTGTGCTGCGGCATAAAAAACCTTTATCAAAAAAGCCTTGAGTCTTTTTGATAAAGGTTTCAATTACTGTACTGTGTTGTTGCTTGTTGATTCGGTGTATCATAAAATAATACCCGTATCTATTGTTTCAAATATGTTTTTTTTTATCTTAAAATTACTATTTTAGCTTCCGAAGAAACAAACAAAAAAAAAAGGAAGTACGACACCTTATCTGTGATAATAAAGGTAGTTTTCCAATTACAGAGCATAATGCGACTCAGTGGCGCACAATGCGGAATTATGCTGATGCTTAATTGGAACGTAAATTAGTTTTGAAATGCACCAGCAGAGTGCGCTTAGTTCAGTGTTGAAAAGAAAAGTCATTGTACCTTCATTATATTTTTTTTACACAGTTTGAATTAACTTTGACTATTAAAAAAAACTATAATGAAACGAAAGCTTTAAAAATAATATTACTAAAGATAATAAATAAAACATATCGATCAATGCCAACTAAAAGAAAAATGGATGCGTGTAACTTATGTACGCGCGTGAGAAGTTATACTTCTTTAGCATCATTAAAAATATTTTTTTAACTAGTGGCCCGCCCTCGCTTCGCTTCGGTGTAGATCTGAAGTGAAGACTATAGTTATTGTTCTCAGGCCTGTATTATACACAATGGCATTCTTCTTATACCTACCTCCGCCGCGACCCATGTCGAGCGCGGCAACCGTTACACAAAAATAATCATTATAGCATGATTCAGTATTCACGTGCGACGGCGCGATGGCTTATTTCATGTATAAGTTTGGTGTTTCTATACCGATTTCTATGATTCTTTTTTTATTGAATAGGTAATATTGGTATCGATTCTGGCTTGATTCTCTAAACCTAAACTTAATCAAATTTAAGTTGTAATCAACAGTGTATCCTTGTCTTTCTCTATACAGAACGAACAGGAGAGACTGATCTTAAATTTAGTTTTAAGTTTAGAGAGTCATGCCAGAATCGATACCAATGTTAACTTTTTTAAATTAGGGATGAGTGAGAGTATTATAAACGTAAGAGTAAACAAATATAATCAGAATGCTCCGAACTGCTAAGCTATCAGGAGTTACACGTGTTATTGTGAGTCAACCATAAAAGATAGACATATGCTGTTGCGGGATATTTTATAGACAATTTTATGTAGAATATTTCCGTCATAGATGATTTCTATGTAACTTTAACCATTAAGGCTGCACACGCAACGGAAGCTGAAAAAATGGAGTAACTGCTCCCGTTTTCCCAACATTTCCCTTTACTACTCTGCTCCTATTGATTGTAGCGTGATGAAAAGTATGCTATAACCTGCCCAGGAGTATGAAGAATAATTGTACCAAGTTTCGTGAAAATCCGTTGAGTAGTTTTTGTTTCTATAAGGAACATACACACAGACAGACAAAAATTTTACTGATTGCATTTTTGGCATCAGTATCGATCACTAATCACCCCCTGATACTTATTTTGAAAATATACTTCATGTACAGAATTGATCTCTCTACAGATTTATTATAAGTATAGATTGCATGCAAATAATTAATAATTACAATAAAATAATAAAAGGACTGGAAAAGGATAGTTAACACAGTCAATTAAGTTCAGTTTTAATTTGAAAAATTAAATAAATATTCAAAATATTCAATTAAAATCACTACTGAATTTAAGTTATTAGTCCATAAGTAACTAAAACACGTTGTGTCTATATAGAAACTAGAAACATGTAGATAAATATTATAAATATGAAAACAGTGATCAGAGGCGACGAGCGTGCCAACATTGTTTTTGACAACGCAATCATCTTATGGAGCTCCGTGGATCGTTCAAAGTACCTTTCGAACAGATGTCTAATATTGGTGGTAAACTAACATTCATAACGCGCCCGCGGCCAACTTCATGGTGTTACTATTGTGTTACAGTGATGCGCGCGCATCTCGAAATTCCACTCACATGATTTTTTCATAACGCGCCCGCGGCCAACTTCATGCTGTTACTTTTGGGTTACAATGATGCGCGCGCATCTAAAAATGTCACTCTCATCATTTTTTCATAACGCGCCTAAAGAAGTATAACTTCAAAAAACACTTGTTCATTTTCTGTCACTGAGTTCGTACGATTGCATTGCACGCATCACACGAAAACATTACTTTTTTCTGAGAGTGCTCGATTGTGCGAAGCGTTGCTGTAGTTGAAACATTCAACGTTAAGCATTATGCCGCATAATGCGCTCTAGTGCTGTAATTGGGAAACTACTAAAGTTTCTTAAATGAAACTTGGAGGAGCTCGATGGCGTAAGTGGATAGCGCTTTCGGTTGCAATCGTTAAAGTTAAGTAATTTTCGCAATAGTCGGTCATTCGAAAAAAAAATTACTGTGTCGAGCTCTGCCGTGCTTGGGAAGGCACGTTAAGCCATCTGTAGTCGTTATCATCCACCAATCCGCAGTGGGTCCGCGTGGTGGGACTTGGCCCAATCTCCCTATTCAGGCCTGTGCCCCAGCAGTGGGGACATAAATAGGCTGTTGATGAAATGAAACTTATTATAAGGGTGCTGAATCAACAATCATTTAAAAAACATGAAATCGCGGTTTTATATACCCCCTTCTCTAGCAACACTTTTTTTATTTTAGTAACCCTGAGCTGTTACCATAGCAATTTTTATGAAAATATTAGCACATAATTATTAGTAGCGTTTTTGATTATGATTTGTTTAATGAATTAATCAAAACAAAAGACTAACTAGAAAATGCAAGTGTCAACAGTTCAGCCCGTTTTTAAACTGGAGCTAAATCACAAAGTGACGCCGGGTATTGTCACAATTGCTAAGTTTGATGGAACTCATCCATGCCTCACTGCCTCTGCTGGATATGACAAAGTAAAATAGTCTAATATGAAATTTCATTAAAACATTGGAGACCTTGTCATCAAATATAAACAGTTACCTTCTTTGAGCTCCCGCGTTCTTTGCTTGAACGAAACAATATAAAGGAACTCGCATACTTGATTACACACTTCATTAACATACCTCAACAGCGTTCGATGACTAAACGGGTAGCTAACAAGATAACCTATCTTGTTAGCTACCCGTTATTCAGATACGTTTATTTACACTTTATTAAGTTACGTTTCTATGTAGACGATTTTATATTGTCGTTATCTAAAGTTCGGGGATCGGTTCCTAGTTAGATCAATCGCAAATTCCAAAGTTTTTGTAGTTTGCGTTTACCTAGTTAAGCGACTCGGCTACTTACTTCGAGATCAGTGTAATGAGATAATATTCCATGTATATTTCTTTATTAGATCATCATTCATCATCCCCATATCGGAGTAGTGAGTGGACGAGCTCAGCGGTCGGAAGCGCATGGGGAAGTCTCAGAGCTAAGCCTCAGTCAAGCCGTCATCGCCCTCGCTGCCGGCCCCCTCAGACCTGACTGCAACCGAGACATGTTGCTTATAGGCTCACCCTCGCAAATATTAGGTAGACGCTCGATATCTACATGATTTTAAAGGAAACTTGAGGTCTCGGGCTTGGACCATAAATTCTTTCGGCGACTTTTTTCGGTTATTTTAGTCAGAAACCAATGCAGATGTGTATAACTAAGTCATATATAAGCCCCTATAAATTATACATCTAAAAGTTCGTTCGTGATTTTAAGTTTTGAAGCGCAAATATTTCGATCTTGACATTTAACTGTTTCTTTCCATCGATTCCCTAACTGTCCACGTCCGCCCGTTTGGAAGGTACTAAAACTCACTTTTTATTATGCTAGGCTGGAGTGCGAGTTGTGGCTTGATTTGACTTTACTAACGCGTTTGCGTTTACGTCAAAATTAGTATGAAGAAAAAGTCTTTATTTACGTCGGTATCACTGAACGGCAAGCTATACTTTTTTCCATACTAACTTCGACGTAAACGCAAAATAGTAAAGTTAAACCGGCGCGCAACTTACACTTCGGCTCTGGATAAAACAGATCAAGTTTTTTCTCCCAGCTTACGACGTCCACGATAACACCGATCTCTTCTTCAAAGACGCTCCAGATGGAGTAAACGTCATAACTGTAGGCACTTTCGGGAAGCACAGTGAACCGCTGGCTTTCGTGGGCGGTAACAGCTCTGTCCAGGGACTTAGCTGGCAAGGAACTGAGTTGTTCTGGAATGTTGTCAGTGGAAAAGTATGCGCTATGATTACATTTGATTTTGATAAGGATGGTGAGAATGAGGTAAGGCTACCTTGTTTTTAAAGTTGAGAAAATGCACTTATGTCCGGTTAGATATTGAATTACTCTCCTTCTTATTTAAGATTTTCTAAGTATGTTGAGTGATCGGATGTCTCACCAATCAAACTGCAAAGTTGTCTTCCTTTTAAAATTACATACAGTTTTAGGCAAGCATCAAACATTCTGAGACACAGGCTTTCCACCTAGTTCAAGTAACGGTCTCTCATAATCTTACGTTTGTTTATTATATACCTAAGTACTGGTTTTAAATGAAATTGCCATGTAGGTACTTTTAGATTGCGCAAAAAAATAAAAACTCATTTTTATTACTATCTGAAGGAGGTAATCTTCCTAGTTCTTTATTACATTCGGAGTTATGATAAACAATCTGTTAAAGAAGTTCACTTTTTAGCTCCTCGTCGGATCTGACGATTCTTACATAAGAGTGCTGAAGAATAATCAATACATACTGGAAATTGCGGAAACTGGACCGATTGTGTGCTTGTCACCAGTTACGGAAGTTAGATTCTCTTATGGACTTGCCAATGGCACTATTGGAATTTACGAAGAAGGAATTCGGCTATGGAGAGTCAAGGTTTGCTATCAAATATATTGTGATTAGGCGAGAATCTGGTAATTTGTAACTTTTTATTCTTTGGCAGTCGAAACAAAATGCGCTTGCGCTCCAATGGTCCGGTGAAACCCTAGTTTGCTGCTGGTGTAATGGCCGAGTGGATTGGCGTGATGGTACTACGGGAAGAGTCCTCCGACGTGTACAAATGCGAACAGGAGCGGCTGCCATGTTGCTGGCAGACTATAGATCTATGGGAGTACCTGATATAGTATGCGTTTCAGATAAAGGCGAAGGTTTGTTGCAAGTTCGTTTTAGTAAAAACACTTGATTTGATTTCAAAATGGTAATTTTGTATATGGCTCGAAGGACCATATTTTAATTCAATAGTACATCTTTTAAATGTGATCGTGCTAAAATGTACCAATCTTTATTATTTATTAGTTCTGGGTTATGCTCCTTACCAAGAAAACAATGGCTTCAACGCGGCATCGAAAAAGTTACCATCGGAAGAAGATAGACTTGCTATCACAGAGTTGTTTAACAAAAAACAAGCGCTCATGATAGAGCTGCAACATTATGAAGCAAATGCAGCAAGTGGTAGCGTTAGCCTTGACGCTCTGGAGCGTCCAGCAACGGCAATGCCGACCAATACAAGACTCCAAGTGGCTGTAAATGCTTCAATTCAAAATGTAAGTCTGATTACTTCTTTCTGCTTTTAAAATAAAGAAATTGACAGTCTAATCACTTTACATTTTGTAGCGTTGCTTAGATCTCACAATATCCACAAATAACGAAACCATAGTTCGTACAGCATTAGTCCTGGCAGAAGGAATATTTGAAACAGGTGAAACATTAGCCAGACATCCAGCTCCTTCGCAACTCCGTTCTATTCTTCAAATACCATTGAAGCCACCAAGAGATGTACCAGTAGATGTTCACATTAAAGTAAGTAATAAAGCCAAGTTTCTTATTTTACTTCATCTATATTAAACTGACACTTCTTTTCGTTCTCCTTCAGGCTCTTGTTGGTTATCCTGACAGTGAACAATTCCACATATTTGAATTGACAAAACAGTTACCAAGATTTTCGATGTATACTACTGCTCCTCAGAATGCAAGAGTGTCAAAAGATAGCTATGTGACCTTCCGCATAACAGAGAGGGTACAGAGAATTTGTATATGGATAAACCAGAATTTTCTCCTAGACCAAGAGTTAGAACTTGCATCAGAGGAGACCAAGGACCTTCAGATAACTCTTTACTGTTTAAGAGACCAATCTTTATTGCATATGAACTTTGGGGCAGATGGACAAGTGAAATTCTACACATCTGATATCAGATTGGCCGGGGACCTCATACAGAGTCTGGCTGTTTATTTGAATCTTACAGATTTACAGGTAACTTTCATTTCATACAACTTGTCTATTATTTTTTGTAATAACCTAGCCATGAGATTAATAAAAAAAGTAACACCTCCACTTAATATGATGTGCAGTTAAAGTTGGCATGTAGTGTATAACTGAAAAGAAAATTGCATATTTATCAATACTTTGCCGAACAAGTATCTTAGTGAATCACTAAGTAGCTCGATGATTATCACTTCCATCTTTTAAAAGCAATTAGCGAATAGGCCTACTGGTTTAATATAGAACCCTAAAAACAAACAGTTAACAATTACAGTATTTAATTTAAGATTATATTATTTCATTTATGGGGGGCAGGTAATATAATAATAAAAATTATTGCAACCAATTGTTTTTAAAGTTGTAAAGTGATACTTCAAACAGCTCTGGGATAAATAAAAATAGAAAAAGGATGTTCTTAGAATATTGTAATTGAAATTGCTTAACTTATAAATTACAGATTACGCAGATCATAAACTTCTCATTGACCATATAGTTCTACAAAGCCAACACATTTCACAGGATTAAAGAAAAACATATTGTTGTGTGGTGGTTCCCTTTGGCTCACAGCCTTTACAACCTCTTGGCCAATGACACCTCCGACAACTGCAGCTGCACCAGCAACAACACCATATACATCAGTAAGAAGTTCATCACTGATGAATCCAGAAGGCAGTGACAATTCCTTCACAAGCTCATCTCGCATACGGAATAATGTTTCAGTATCTGATTTTCTCTTAGCTGGGTCAGGGTTTCTGTTTTGCTCATCTCTAAATCTAAGCAGAATTTTAAGGACGAAGTAAGAAGGGTCTCCGCGTCGTAGTCTCGAACGTAACTCTGGTTTCCTCCAGTCAGCAGAAAGTGCATTTTGAAGCGGCACATAAATAGCGCGTCGCTTCACTGTGATACTAACGGTTTCTCGTGCATTTTTTTCGTTGTCGTCTGGGCCACGTTTCACGGCTTTGTGTTGCACAATCTCTTCGGAATACTCATGGTCGACGAGGTCAGCGAACATATAGCCAAACATTCCCCAAACATCGCCACATAGGAATTTCTTGTTATTGTCACGGCATACGTTGTTGATACGCTCCAATTGCTCCTGCTTTAATCCGGTAGCACAAACTATGTCAAAAGTAGTAAAATATTCATCGGGTAAGTTGTCGACAGCTCGAGTCTCTGAAGATACTTCTACCATGGGGTTTAATGCCCGCGCTCTTTGCAATGAAGCTTCAGCTCTGTTTTCCCCGATCTTATCTGGAGGTGCCAAGAATTGAGAGTACAAATCAATTTCTTTAAGCTTCTCATTATCAAGTAAACACACGCTCTTGACGCCTGATAAAATTATATTTTTCGCGGTTTCAGCACCTAAGCCGGATAAACCAATGATCAGCACTTTGGAGGCACGTAATCTTTTCTGTGATTCCAATCCCCACAAACGAATCTGGCGATCATATTGTTCTGCTTCCGCTTCTGAAAGTTCAACGTCGGTATTTTCAACCATTTTTAATGAATAATCCAAAAAAATATTTTATCAAATCTTTGACAGCTTGACAACACACGCCGCCCGGTAACCAGTCAAAATGAGAATGCGACGCCATATTGAATTGAGAGTTGTATAAACGTGTCCACAGATATGTTATGTCGATAATACCGGTTTTTAATATCGATATTAAATGCATTTTAATTAATGTTCCAGTCAGTTGCTCAATTTGAGGAAACTGAAAAGAAACTTCGACATGAAATGGAGATTGCTTCTCAAATGGGTGAAATGAGATCGCGATTAGCGGCAGAGACTGCAGAAAGAGCACAACTTATTACAGCACTTCTGCCGGCAGCTCAAGATGCAGCTGCTTATGATCTGTATGTTATCTATCTTTATTTCATATAAATATTTTTTGTGAGAACAAGAATAAATCCATCAAATTTTTGCCGCTCGATATGAACTGGCTATATAAATGATATCTTAACCGATTGAAAGCAGCATTGGTGTCGATTCTGGCATGGTTCTCTAAACTTAAAACTAAATTTAGCACCAGTCGCTCCTTTTCATTTTGTATAGGGAATGACAAGGATACACTGTATGCTTTCCAATTACAGAGCATAATGCGACTCAGTGCCGCACAATGCCCAATTATGCTGATGCTTAATTGGAACGTGAATTAGTTTTCAAATGCACCAGCAGAGTGCGCTAAGTTCAGTGTTGAAAAAAAAAGTCAATGTTTGTACCTTCATCCATACTTATATTTATTTTTTAACAGTTTGAATGAACTTTGATTATTTCAAAAAAACTATTTATTGAAACGAAAGCTTTAATAATTTTTCAACAATAAATAATATTACTAACGATAACATATAAATAAAACATTTCAATCAATGCCAACTTTAAGAAAAAACACTTGATAATTTTCTGTCTCTAAGTCGGTACCATTGCACGCATCACACGAAAGCATCACTTTTGAGAGTGCTCAATTGTGCGAAGCGTTGCTGTAGTTGGAACACTCAACGTTAAGCATTATGCCGCATAATGCGCAATAATGCTGTAATTGGAAAGCAACCCCTGTTGTCAAATTTAAGTTAAGGTTTAGAGATTCACACGCCAGAATCTATGATCAGATCATATGATTTTATTATATTACAAACAGAAAAGAAATGTTGAATCGCTACAAAGAAGTAATTATGTTAAATGAGGAACTTCTAGCTGGTTGCCATGTCCGAAGAGCAACACAGGAGCAAGCAATTTCTTCTTTGAAGAATTTACATACAGTGTTACAACAAGCATCGAGATTAAGAGGTTCAAAAATAACTTTTCACTTATTTTATGAATTGAAATTACATACTTCAAAAGGATTTTGTTTCGTAATCCCTATGTTCTTACAGTTGGAAAATACAGCAAAGCAGTTGTAGCTGCTAGCAGAAAGGCTGTTAAAGAAGACAATATCGAAGCTCTAATAAAGATTCTACAAGTGGGAGACTCATAATAAATGATTGGCATTATAAAACAGTGATCATTTTATTTTATTATAGAACGTATTCCTACAAATTATATATTGAATTTACAAACATAAAATATAAATATGTATGTACTCCCTTAGGGCTCTTTCAATTTATGCGTTTCTTGACGGCCTGCTGCGGTGCCGAAGCGGTGCGGCGCCGGTACCGCGAACGCTCGACAACAGGACTGTTGCCGCACCGCGCGTTTTGTATAAAAAAAAGGATCGTCCGTACGCTGTACGACAAACGCACCGCTTCGGCACCGCAGCAGGCCGTCAAGAAACGCATAAATTGAAAGAGCCCTTACGGACGCACTAAGATAAGATGTCAATTAAATTCAGTGTTAGTGAAAGTCATTTTTGTTTTATTACACTCATCTAACTCAAACTATTGATAGCATTAACTCGAATTATCATGAAATAAAATATCCCTTGCATAAAAAGCATTTTATTCATCTGAGATGAGAAATGAAGAGATATCTTAAAAGACATGTAAATAAGAATATTTGGTTTCCCAAAAACATTTGGTAATCCTATTAGTTTAGAAGGGATAAAAAGGCCTCGGTTCTATATCTCTCACGTTATATCGGTAATGCTGGGGCCACACTGCCGGCGATTATCTGCGTTGTCGCGACAAGTTTGGCCAAACTATTCGTCCTATAGCGAAATAATAGCCTCGCGTTGCTGTTGTTGGTACAATGGTGCAAACAGTGCAATGGTTAAAAGCCATTGGTGCACGCAAGTATGGGTGGTTGGTTCATTCCAAGTTTTTTATTCACATTCTGGGTGTCTCATTGACTTATCGAAATATCCAGCGGATTTTAACCATTGCACTGTTATCAACAAAATAGGATGAGTGAGGGCTAAAGAATGAAAGTTTGATTTTGGGAATTCAAAACATTAGCAGTTTTTTTACATAATCATAAGTTGATATCTCAAATTAAAGTTTAGGTTTAGAGAATCATGCCAGAATCGACACCAATGTAAATTCAAAGTACTTAGTCCCTAGTTCACATCAAACTGATTAATTTTCACAAATTATGATTCCAAATAAACGGACACTCAGATTTTGTCTGCATTATTAGTTACTTTTACACTTTTATCTGCATAGTGGCGTAATGCACGTCGTCAGCTCAGCACTAACGTTGAGCAGTAGTCTCGGTTCCGCGGTTTTGATGAACTCCAGTAACATAAACTTGGCAACGGCGTGTTATTCGCATGCTAGAAAATACTCTTGAATTTGATTTTGGCTGTATTTGTATCTATTTTTACAAAAACGGGATTTTAAATAAACATTCACACTCAATTTTGTTTTGCTTTATAAGTTTTTTTCACACTTTGATCTGCCGAGTTGCGTCGTGCACTTCGTCAGCGCTAGCGCAAAGCAGCTGTCTCGGTTCCGCGGGTTTGGGCTCCAGTAAAAGAAGCTTGATAGCGGCTAGTCATGCGCATATACAATGAGCTTGCGCCGAGGTTTGAGCGCGTACATAAAGAACTAGTCTTGTATTTGATTTCGTCGGTTGAATTAGACAAATTATAATTCCCAATGGGATTCTAAATAAACAGGTACTCAATTTTGTTTGCTTTATTAGTTCCCTTCACACTTTTGTCTGCCTAGTGGCATAGAGCACGTAGTCAACGCTGACGTCGAGCAGCAGTCTCGGTTCTTCGGTTTTTGGCTCTAGTAACAGAAGCTTGGCAGCGGCTAGTCGTGCGCAAATAGCATGAGCTTGCGCTGGAGTTGGGGCGCGTGTACGCCAGGGTGGTCCAATTAGTGACGTCAACATTTTTTTTAGATTCCTCGCACCTGGGGGTAGGTATCCATAAAATACCCCATGTATGTTCCGTAATCATGTAATTTTTCTTAGTTTTTTTGTGTATTTTTAATGATTTCTGCCAGCGAGGTTTCGAAAATTACATTTTTTAGTTTAATATACCATAACAATGATAAATAATAGATAAAATAATTTTTAATACTTTAATCGTATTTTAATGATTTTTGGCCTATCCGCCTCCGCAGGCCAATTACAACAAAAATAGGCTAATTAAGTACATTTTTTACGATTTTTGGTAGTTTAGAAGCATGCGGAGTTTTTAATTTTAGGCGGAAGCCATAGAAACTCCTTTTTGTATTTTTAAATTTAAGTTGAATGGTTGACTAAATCCTACTAAAAACTAAAGTTCCAACTTTCAAGCCTTTTTTGTGTAACTTTAAGTTATTTCAGGAAGCTGAGTTATTTTTTTTATTAAAACAACATTCAAGACAATTAAGTCACAAAAAAGACTGCAAAATACCTACTACGAAAAAAGATATGAATTTTTGAAACCTTGCTGGCAGAAATCATTAAAAATACACAAAAAAAATATAACTCGAAAACTAAGAAAAATCGCGGAACATACATGGGGTATTTTCGGATTCTCCCAGGTCCGAGGAATCTAAAAAAAATGTTGACGTCACTAATTAGACCACCCTGTATGTGCGGTCCAATTACCGCACATGTTTCCGTGTCAGCGAAATAGTTAACTTATTTAATATTATTTGATTGTATAGTCAGTCGTGTGTGTATCAAGTTATTGTAAGCTCGTATACCTATCAAGAAAATAAACATTCTATAATCGTCAAGGAGTTTTTATTATCAAGTTATCAAGATCTATCAAATAGGTCGTTCGGCAGCATCACGGCGCCGTCCGACACTGTATAAAGAACCACTCTTTATTTGATTTTGGCTGTTTTTTTTAATATTATTATTTCTAAGACGAGAAATTGGGATTTTAAATAAACAGCGACACTAAATTTTTGTTCACTTTATTTGTTTCTTTCACACTTTTATCTGCCTAGTAGCGTAGTGAACGTCATCAGCGCTGACGTTGAGCAGCAGTCTCGGCTCCGCGGGTTTGGGCTCTAGTAACAGAAGCTTGGCAGCGGCTAGTCGTGCGCAAATCGCGTGTGCTTGTGATGGACTTGGGGCGCGTATAGAACCACATTTGTATGGACGCCCGTCTAACGCTACTATGGCGCCTGCGGTTAATAAAGCACGAGAGAGGGTAGTTTCGTCTGTACCTGTCCTTTCAACCTGAAACAAACAATTTGGAAATTTCGCACGTTCCTTACTCTGTTTCTATTTCATTTCGAAAATTCGTTCGTTCGAAAATAGTTTGACATTGAAATTCTCTAAGCCTACTCTAATTCACAAAACTTTTGAACTAAAAGTTGAATTTGACAGGTAATTCTTCGGAATTTTAATCTCAAATTGACTAAATGAAAAGTGTTACCTTTTCATTTTCGTTTTGGGATTTTTGTTTAAATTAAACCTAAAATTACTACTACTTACAGTATTTTTTATTAAGGCTGCTTAGCGTGGGAACATTTTTTAGTATGAAAAATTTACAAATAAATCTAATTATTGTATTGCCAATACTTCAAAGTGTTACACGACAAATTTAGGTTGACATACATTCGATTGCATCAATTCTACAAATTTACTTATTTGTAGAATTGATGCAACCTCTTTTGACAGTGTGCCGACTGGCTAACACTGTCAAAAGAGGTTGTTTTAATATAATCAAAAATGTTGTCATAAAGTAATATTGTTGATGAAATGTTATCTAAAAAGTGTAGACAAAAAGAACTCACAAACATAACTCATTCCATTCGTTCACGATAATTGTCTGTGATTCCGATCTTTATGTGCGTGTTCGAAGATGAAATAGAGTAGTCACTGGCGAAATTTCGTTTAAAATTTGTTCGTTGCCGAAATTTCGTTTCGGAGAAAGAGAGTAGAGCTCCTGGTCGTTAGCCCGTATTCGGTGGACAATAGACATTACTCGTATTCGGGCACTCGAAGCAATATTCACACTGGAATACGGGCTGGAAGGCGGTATCGGGTAACCAAAACGAAAACTACCCGAAAACGGGCATACTCAGCTCTAGTATTAAGTATATCAAGTATTCAGTATTTACTGACCTCAGCGCCGACCGACGGCTCGCAGCATCAGTATCTCTGTGGGGGAACAGTTCCATATCGCGCGTACTGCGGCGCTCAAAGACGCGTCTCCTAAGGCGTGCTGTGTACTTCCTTCAAACCAGCACCTGTGATCAAGTATTCAGTATTCACTGACCTCAGCGGCGACGGCTCGCAGCATCAGTATCTCAGCTGGGGAACAGTTCCGTATCGCGCGTACTGCGGCGCTCCAAGACGCGTCTCCTAAGGCGTGCTGTGTATCTCCTTCAAACCAGCATCTGTGATCAAGTATTCAGTATTCACTGACCTCAGCGGCGACGGCTCTCAGCATCAGTATCTCTGCGGGGGAACAGTTCCGTATCGCGCGTGCTGCGGCGCTCAAAGACGCGTCTCCTAACGCGTGCTGTAGGTACTTTCTTCAAACCCGCACCTGTGATCAAGTATTCAGTATTCACTGACCTCAGCGGCGACGGCTCGCAGCATCAGTATCTCTGCGGGGGAACAGTTCCGTATCGCGCGTACTGCGGCACTCGACGACGCGTCTCCTAACGCGCGCTGTACTTCCTTCAAACCCGCACCTGGGACCAAGCGTTTCATCAAAATTATAATAAAAAATATTTGACAAGTTTTAGAAAACGATCTCACGCTATTTATTGATGATACTCATCATTCTGTCGAGTATTCCATTAAAAAAACCGAATCAAAAATTCCGTTGTCAAATAGGCGTTCTGGACATTATGGAGTCTCACTAGCATGTGACGTCACACGACTGTCATTGAAACGTCAAACGATACAATGTAATGCCACTTTGGCCGGAAGTTTCTAGCGTGTGACGTCATTTTAGCCTCTTCGCCAATCCCACGCGTTTTCGGTCACGTGACCATAAAAAAAATATTTTTATTTAATGATTTTTTACAAAAGTTAGTCTTAGAATAGTAAAATCGCTGTTATTATTCATATTAAATACAATGGTGTCGATTCTGACATGATTATCTAAGCCTAAACTTAAATTTGACAACAGTATAGTCCTCTTTACCAGAAATGTGATTTTGTTAGAATGACATTCTCTATAGTGATGAAAAGGAGAGATTGTTTTTAGTTTAGAGAATCATGCCAGAATTAACACCAAATAGTACTTTATTTTTCATACTGTCAAACACCCTACTGTCATCAGCCTATTAATGTACCCACTAGAGGGGCACAGCCTTTTCTACAGACATAAATCGATATTAACACAACCAAAACACGTCAAAACCACCTCAGATTCGAATGGTCTAGAGGCTCCAGACGGAGAGGAAACTCCCCCCGTGGGGAGATGTCATCCGCCTGAAATACCTCTAGAGGCACTCGCCATTTCTCAGCTTGAAGTCCCCTTAGGAACTCGCCGTCCCCAAGCCCGGTGGCTGGTTCATGCGTCATGCTCGTGAACGGGTGCTGCCAGCGGAGATGAGTCTGCTCTTAATTCACTGGGTACTATTAATCGTTGTTCTAAACTTTAATCGTTCATTATTATTATTATTTTTTTTGCCTAAACGGTAGGACACGTCATTCCTAAACTTTGTTAAACCATTTTTTTACATATTTTTTATTTTATAGTCATAATTTTTATATTATTTGCATTTTTTTGTTTGTAATGAAAAGTGACTTTATGAGTTACCTCATATTGAAGTCATTTTTCAATTTGACGACTCTGTATATAATACAGGGAGAAAAAAACAGCCCTTGCTGAGTTTCTTGCCGGTTCTTCTCAGTACAAGGTCTCCCGCCGTAGATTTGCCAACCGATGGCGTAGCTTTTCGACATTCACAAGTGCTTGTAACAGCCTAGACTGAATAAACGATATTGAATTTTGAATAGAATAAGGAGATTTTTTAACCCATTGTGAAATAAAGTCAACTTTACAGTTGGTTAGAGAACACTTACTTATCTACCCAGTTAATTATCTACCCAAAGAACAAATTAGAGATGCAGCCAGGACCAACGGCTTAACGTGCCTTCTAAAGCACGGAGGGAGTTCGTGAAAATATTTTTTTGGGTTGGCCTTTGCATAACTTTAGCGACGGCAGGCTAAATGCGCCAGCAACTTGGTACGCAAATTTTTAGCTTTCTATTAGGCGTAAGATATTTATTTATTTATCCGTTTTGTACACACAAATATAAATAGACAGAGATTACAAAATAAGATAGTAGTAAAAGGGATATTCTTGCCTTTGTCATCTATTTTAGATAAAATTAAAATTAAACCGAAATTTATGATCAAATATTTTACCTTCTGGTCCTGCCAGTTCCAGCGCTCGACTACAAAGCGCTAGAGCGCGTCGAGCATCCCCAGACACAGCTGCTACTTTCCTACAAAATATGAAGTTAAAACTTTGGTAATAGCAACACCTAAAAAAAACATTATTTTAAGAAACTTTTCGCGATGTATGCGTATACGACGTGCGATTACTGGCGCCACTCGCTCGCGGTGACAGTCCTAAGCAAAATTGCACGCGCAAGGCCAAGCGAGCATCGTTGAGCGAGTATTATTTTTGATATCTATGCCCGAACGTAATCAATGAGCAACGACACTGTTTTTAGTTCTATTACCCACTTCAATGTATCTCCGTATTAAACGAAATTATTATTTAAAATATTTTATGTTCTCATGGTAAGTGAATTTTGTAATTCTTTATGAGAATAAAGATCTTAAACCGTAAATCTCTTGTCACTCAGCCACAAACTAATTGAGAAAGTTCTCGCCGGCATTGTGAACAGTCAGATCAACTATTAATATATACATCTCTTTTGTTTACACGGAATGTATATTCATTGTACGTTTCTTGAGCCAGAAATTAGTAGATAGAAAGTCGCTTCCTCAGTGGAGGTGAGGTAACTGCCCTAACCTGACCATGGACTTCGACCAGAGGCCCAAATACGAATTCCGACAGCTTCGAATTTTGTCTGGAAGAAGCACGTTTGTACTTAATTTGGGTAGGGGCTTAGATTAAAACAAAAAGGGTAGATACGGTACGCTCATACTTGCATCAAACAAAAACTGATCCCACGGCAGCGCGAACGGGACGGCGAGATCCGCGTCACTGCATTACCGACCCGAGCGAAACAGCATGTTAAGTTTCAACGGCAGCGCGAACGAGACGGCGAGATCCGCGTCACTGCACTACCGACCAATCACGCGACCAGTACTCGACGTCACTACCGAATAAGATTCAAAACAAACAGCAATTTTTATGAAAAAAAATATTTTATAGTAATTACGAATGAAAAGTGATGCCGTGGGTTTTATTTTTAGTTCTTGAGCAATTTGAGCACTTTTTAAAAACATACATAGGCATTGTTTTATCATATAAACACAAAATATTATCAATATTTCTTTTTGGCGTTCACATGTACGTCGTTTGCATGTCAAGTTGTGACTAAAGCGATTAGGGTCGTGGACCACAATTTGTGCGGATCACTTTTGTGAGGCTAGTGCCGTATCTATCATTTTTGTTTTAATATAAGGGTAGGGGCGCTTCTTAATTTTCATAGAAACTTTGTCGATGCAATTCGATTACGGAGCTGTCAAAAATCGTGGTTGTGTCTCAGTACACCTCAAATTGAAATCGGTTAGAACTAGTCATGCACACAAAAAAACGAGTATGCGTGACATGACCACGCGACTGAAGTGAAACTTCTTTAGCTCCATCTATATATATATATATACACACACACATATATATATATATATGTGTGTGTACAATACATACATGTATGTACATATTTTATTTACTAGCTATAAGAGAACGAGTATCTATTTCGTAATAACGTAACGCATTCGGCCGCTTACCCCCCAAGTCAAGCGTGCGTAAAGAATTTTCACTTCAAAAACAAAAACTTCCTACCTTGCAATAAGCTGCACTGCATCCGGCGTGACGTTAGCACCGGCTAGTCTCGTAGCCACAATGGTCTGAAGTTGCGTATGAGTGTAGGGCGGGAAGGTGAGTCTGGTGAGGCCCAGCCTGGAGGCCACTCGGGCCGCCAGGGCTCTCTCGGGGAGGTCCATAGTGTTGGCCACTGCTACCACTGTGAGTAGGGCCGAGTTGTGGGACGCCCATTCCATTATACTGTAGAGGACGTCTTGACGACGCGTGCAAAGGGCGTCCAACTACAAGAAAATAAGTAAGAATTTGGTAAAACCTATCGCAATGGCGAGTCATAGGCTTCTTCGTGCTTTGGAAGGCACGCTAAGTCATTGGTGCCGGCTATATCTACAGTCAATATCACGTAACAAGGCGCACTAGGCCCACGTGATGGGTCACATTGGGGACACTAGAATCTAATAATAATCTGTGCATCTGATGGCCATGGGGTTGCCAGATCGGGAAGTAAAAATGTCTCGGTAACATTTTTGAAATATCAGGATTTCGGGATTGTTGTCGGGAGAATTAACTCCCTCCCTAGCCGGTCGTCTCACGCTAGATGTAGATAGGGTAAACTAAAAGTGCATCGTCATGTTCGTTTGTCTGGAGTTACGTTATTTGTCGAGAGTCTGGAGATCATATAAAATGTCGTGAGAATCCAGACGATTCCCGACCATAGATGGCCACAATGGTCTGGAGTTGCGTATGAGTGTAAGGAGGGAAGGTGAGTTTGGTGAGGCCCAGCCTGTGGTAGGCCAAGTTGTGGGACGCCCATTCCATTATACTGTAGATGACGTCTTGACGACGCGTGCAAAGGGCGTCCAACTACAAAAAGAAGTACTAACTAAACAGTGGATCTCCGATCGTGGGAGATAAGTAACTTTCATAATGGCCGGCTATAGGATGGGTGGCTACAAAAATTATGGCCCGGAGTTATTCCGTGCTCCGGAAGGCACGTTTATCTTTTGGTCCCGACTGTATTTGCAGTAGATACCACCCAACAATGTGCACTAGGCCAACGTGGTGGGTCACGGCCCATTCTCTAATGTAAACCACAGGGAAGGTTTATACCCAAGCAGTGGGGTGGCAGGCTGAAGGTGATGGAGTAAATCATATTTTGGGGACACTAGACTCTAACTAAGTCAGCACTTTCGGTAACCACAATTAAAATGGTGACAAGTTGCGTATGAGTGTACGGTGGGAAATTGAGTCAGTAAATCTAGGGACACGACATTTTATTAGATCTCCAGACTCCCGACAAATAACAAAACTCCAGACAAATGAACATGACGACGCACTTTTTGTTTACCCTGTCCGCATCTAGCGTGAGACGACCAGGGGGCCATTCGCTTAACGGGATTGTTTTGGAAAACGCTATCGCTTACGATTTCATTTTGTTATTTCTGACCGCCGAAGGTTTTCAAATACCTCATGCTCATTTTCTTTAATATTGTTATTAACTATAATGTAGGTAGGTTGAACTTCATATTTATGAATAGACGTGTCATGTCAAATCAGTCGTGAATAAACGCTATCACTGGACGTATGCTGTTTGCTTTACCAGTTCCTGCCAAAACACTAAATTAACAATGCAAAAGAAAAAAAAGAGCGCGAGGCATTTGAAAACCTCCGGTGGCTAGAAATAACAAAATGAAATCGTAAGCGATAGCGTTTTCTAAAGCAATCCGTTTAGGCGATTGGCCCCCTGATAGGGAGGGGGGGTTAATTCTCCCGACAACAATCCCGAAGTAACGGCAAATATCACACAAACATTTTTACTTCTCGATCTGGCCATCTTCCTTGGCCATGAGATGCCCAGATTTGTGTTAGAGTCTAGTATCCCCAATATGTGACCCATCAGTTCATATTGTTAGGTGTAATCATAGCTTCTTAAAAGAATATAAGTACCATAAGAATTATTTTAAATACGTACCTCATCGACCAATAATACGGTCGGCGTTCTTCTCGGGCCAGGATTAGTAAAACGTTTTTCTAGTAAGGAGCATGCTTGCTCCCACACTACCGTTTTGCCTGAACAAGTACAAGTTTAATTTTAACAATGCCGAAGTAATGATCAAGAAATACTGATTTCTTGACTTACATAGTTTTTATAAGTACAGCCTTGTAAGATAATTATTTGTCTTTGATAGTTCTAATTTAAAACTTGTTGTTAAAAAACATAGTAATAAACATAAAAACACACATATAAATATTTTAACCAAAAATAAAAATAAAACGGTATTTTGTATAATTATTGGATCAAAAATACCTGTTAGTTGCTTGTATATTAGAACATAGGCTTGTCTTGGTTCAGCGATCCGCATACCGTTGACTTCAACGAGCTGGAAGTCAGGCAGATCCTCCTCCTCCTTGAGGAGCTTCAGAGCTGAGCAAACTGTTGCTGTCTTGCCTGTCCCGGGCACCCCAGAAATGTACATGCATCTGTGGATGTTATTTGATAATTTTTTATCAATACTAATATTATAAAGACAAAGTTTATTTATAGGTGTACTTCTGAACTACTAGACATTTAAAGCTATAAATTGCACTTCAAGCAAAGCTCAAGTATTTAATATAAGGTAAACCTTATAAAACATATAATGTTAAATAATGTCACAGATGCAAAGTTTAATTTACATGTTCTTTTTACATTTCGGTACAATTGCATATTTTCATTCATAATAATCAACTGTTTTTTCATGGGTGGTTTTAGGGGATTTAATAAATTTGCTGAATCAAAGGAATTATTTTCTTCATATTTGATACAGTAACATTAAAAACTTACCCACTTGTGCCATCTAACAGCTTATTCCTAATAAAAGATAATATTTCAGCCATTTGACTTTCCCGTCCAGGCAGGGATTTGTTATCTTTCATGTATTCTAAAAAAAAGGGATAAATTAAAATTATACTTACAAACAAATAAATAAAAACTACGATACAGCAATGGAAACATAAAACTTATCTGTTAAGGAAACTTTAATAATTGTGGTAAAGGAAGCCGGAAACTTCTTAAGCAAAATGACAGACAAATAAACTTGCACAGGAGATGTTTTTGTATGTAAAATCCCTACTGCACCGGCAGTGGCAGGGCAAGACCTAAATTTGATGTGGGCAAGACAGATTTCGCGAGGCCCTGTTCTGTGGCGACCTGAAGACGGAATTTATAAAATAAAAAAAAAACGCTTTTAAGCAATGTATAAAAATTTTTGAGGCGCGAGGCCCCTTTGTACCGCGAGGCCGTAGGCGGTGGCGCACGTCGCCCACGTCTTACGCCGTCTCTGTGCACCGGCTTCATTGTCTATTGTTCTTGTTCAAGAAGTTTGCTGGGTGTATAACGGAACATACTAGTTACACCTTTGCTAACAATTAAATGCTAATACAAAGTAGAAGTAATCTTACCATCAATTCTATCAATTGAATGAGCTCTTGTATGCAAAGTTGGTGTTAGTTCACTCATCATAATTTTCTTAGCAGCACTACGTTTTGGAGTCTTCACAGGAGTAGCTTTCAATACCCTTGGTGTTCTAGGAGTTCTAGGTGTTTTAGGGATCGGTTTAAAATATTCATCATCTTCATTGTCCATTTTAGATACCAACTTCTTTGGTGTCCTTTTAACAGGTGAAATATCTGGTTCCATATAGTTAACAGGCACTTTAGAAGCTCTTGTTGATCTTGGTGTTCTCTTAACAGGAGAAACATCTTCATCCATGTAGGTAACTGGATTCTTTGTAGTTCTACCAAACCGTGTAGAATATGCCTCTTTATCTTCATCATCAAACAACAATGCCTTTTTTGGAGTTTCATCATTAACTTTAGATAAAGATTGCTTTCTCTTTGGGGTATTTGATTGATGTTGTCTTATAATCAAAGTGGGCAGTTCTTCATCAGAATTTTCTTGAAGCTCCATAGACAACACATCCTCAATTTTGTTTTTTGAAAGTTTTTTAGAGCTTCTAGGTGTTTCTTGTATTAAAGGGGTTTTAGGTGTTGATTTAGGCGTTTTTTTAGGTGAATCTTTCTCATTTTTATCTGCTAATATTGCTCTCTTGAGTAAAAGTTTTGTACCATCATTTTTTGAAATACTATATGATACATTCTTTGATTCTTGTAAGGATACTCTACTCATTCTTTTTACTAAACTTGTTGGTGTTTTTGGAGTAAGGCTAGGAGTTGTCACTTTACTTGGAGTACACAGGAGTTGTAAAGCCTTTCGTTCTTCCTCCATAACTGGTTCCATATGTACCTTCCTTTTACTTAAAGACATGAGTCTAAAACGACATATGTAATGAAATGCTTTAGAATCTAGATTATCTACTGTATCTTTAGTAAATGCCATTTTTATAAAACAAATCTTATAGAAAGTCTCTATGGAGACATCTGTGTCAAATGGACGGTGATCTTCAATAACCTGAAAACAATATTTTATTAGGAATATATAACAAAAAATATGCATTCAGATATAATTTACAACATTACCTCTCTATCTAGAAATTCAATATGATCCATATTATTAAAGCACCAATTTGGAAGGCTATCAGGCCTCGAATACCATTGAACTTTTGCTCGAAATGGATCATTCTTATTTGATGTGTCTTCATACAGCTCGAGTATACGAGCTGCATCACAACCTTCTTCCGTGTCAGGTTCTGCAGCATCAGCATTTGATATCAATACAAATTGACCAGTCTCTGCTGTCAAATTTTTAAACTGGAATTTCCTGTAATAAATTTTTGATATATGCAATTTTCTCTTTTAAATAATAGTTTCCAAATTGCTAATTTGAACGTTTAGATTATACTTAAAAATGTCTAAATTATTCTACTTACGTATAATAATGGAATGAGTTTGATAATGTTGGTTTATCAACGATCTCGTCACTTAACCATGTTACAGGACGATGCACCATTTTTTTAGGCATCTTGTTAGGTCACTGAAATAATATTTTTGTTTATATTGGAAGCTGTCGTGCTGGTGACGTCTTCAACACATCAACATCGTTTGTGATTTGATTCGCGCGGATTTTTTACTGTATAACATCTGTTTGACAGACTGTTCAGTGACACTGACAATTCATGATCCACGACAAATAGAGAGAGAACCAGTTTCATATCGACAATCGTCTGTTTAACTGAAGATTAACGGATTTTTTTAAAACATACGCTATATCGGTCAAGTGGACGTAAGGACTTTACTGTAGTACTGTAGTGTTGACTACCTCACAGAAACTTGTCAAGAAAGCTGACTCGATACATTTTGTGCCAAACACTCTAACAAATATTAGAATGCGTAACACACATCCACATTCTAATTTAAAAAAAAGAAGATTAATACAAAAATCAGACGATGGCTGCATGGCTTTGCCTTTGCCTTTCTCAATACGGAACAAAAGAACAAAAAAAATGAGTTTTTGCTGCGATTTCATCGAGTGGAGTTGGCGTTTTATTTTAATTATTTTTAAATTTGTTCATAGTGGATATTCTGAAATAAAATTGGTTTGATTATGTGTTACAAACGTCTACGCAACTGAAGAATTAGTGGAATCTTTAAAATATACGCTATTCCGGTCAAGTAGACGTGAGAACTTTATTGTAGTGTTAGCTACCTCACAGAAGCTTATCGAAAAAGCCAACTCGATACATTTCGTGCCAAACATTCCAAGAAACATTAATACGTCACGCTGTCATTCTAATTAAAAAAGAAAACCTAAGACTAGGCTGTATGGGCATTGCTCGCTTTGCGTTCTCTATAAAGGGAGAATCCTAAAAAAAATATTGACATAACACTTGACAGCAGAAAATATCACAACACGTGAGCTTGTGTCGGTATTTTTTAAAGGTTAATTACAAATAACAAACAAGAAAAATGAAATTTAAAAAGGGCAAGATCAACAAAATCACTTTATCCGAGAAAATTGCCGATGCCTTGACGTTGAAACCTCGTCCTGACATCGAGGAGGACCAAGTGTTTGGGACTAAACCACAAACTGTTTCACGTGCTGATTTTAGTTCTTCAGACAGTGGCGACGAGACTGCTATCAGTGACTTTCGCAAGCGCAATGTTCATCTTTTGAGTGAAGTGAGTAAAAAGTACGACGGGCTTGTAATAACCCGTAAACAACTCGAAAAAACCACGGATGAAAGTACGAGTGATGATGACACTGAAGCAGAACAAAACAACATTCAGAATAACAAAGATGCCCCTTCTGCAGATAGTGATGATTCAGAAATAATCAAAAAGTTCAAACAAATAACTGATATAATCCATTCACGTAGTTCTTCAGAGTCGGAATTCCCAAATTCTATAAAAAAAGATACATCGAAATCAAGAAGTAATGATAACATACAGCCTCATTTAGAAGATGATAACGACAGTGATGGAGAGAGTGATGATTACAGTATCACTCAGTTTAAAAAGCAGCTGGAAAATGATGATTCTAGTAAAGAAGAAACTGAAGAAGATGAAAGTGCGGATGATGAAAATGATGGTTATGACATCAGCCAACTTGAAGAACCTATGAAGGAAGATTTTGAGCATGTCAAAAAGCAAAATGTTTCTGAAGAAGCTAAAAAAGGAGTATGCATCAGAAATCAACTGCTGTTATGGGAAGGATTGCTCGAAATGAGAATTCATCTTCAAAGATGTCTGAATACAGCAAATCAAATGCCCATGCCAGATGTGCACAATGAACTGAAAGGGAATAGTGAATTCATGGATGAATGTAATGCTACAAAGGCTAACATAGCTACCACATTAGACAAGTTAGTATATTTATATTTTTTAAGCATTGAACTGCTAGATGTCTTAACCTAAAGAAATTCTTTTCTAGTAAAATTTTCTAAAGTTACTATATTCGTTATATTATCATTACTCAATTCAAGGTGGTCACTTACAAATAGATATATGAATTTTATTTGCTAGACAAAGTTTTACCACCTTGATTTTATATCTTGAGTTATTTTTACTTGAACAAGTTATTAGAGCTAGTGTTTTTTTTTAAATTTAAGAAATAAATAGTTTTATATGTGTTCATTATTGGTAGCATGATTATACTTACATAATTAAAACCTTGCATGTATAATAAAAGTGTGATTACAAGAAAAAGGAATAGTGTATTGAAAAATGGTAGAATTATTAATCAACAATATTATATACTAAGATTTTTCATCTTCAGATTGTAATTTTAGTAATACTTTAATTGAAAATTCATTTCAGATTCTTATCTCTTCAAAGCATATTACTAAACAAGTTTCCTGAGACAAATTCTTTATCATCAAAGCAGAAGCAACCAGATAAGGAGTCTGTTAAAAATAATAGTGATGAAGAAATACCTAGCGATAGTGAAAATGAAGAGATACCTTCTGATACAGAAGATGAAGCAGAGGATATAGTGAAAGAAGACAAACCTAAGAAGAATGAGAAAGCACCAGTGGTATCTAAGAAACGAAAATTGGATGACTATGAGAAAGAAATATCTACATCACATAAAGTTTTCAAACCATTCACAGACACAACTATACAAAAATGGAATGATAAGACTAGACTGGCAACTGCAACAAATGTGAAAAATACTCCAACAAACACAATTTTGCAACAAATATCATACATTCTGTCAGACAAAGAGAAGTTAATAAGGAGGACACAATTGAAAAGGTCAGAATATGATATTGTTGGTCACAATAAACCAGAAGCTACTGACAGTATAGAACAGAACGGTAACTCAAATCTTCTGATTAATGATAGAAAAGACAATGATGAATATATTCCGGAGATATTCGATGACAGCGATTTCTACCACCAACTCCTAAGGGAATTGATAGAATGTAAATCAGCGGACATTTCAGATCCAGTGCAATTGAGTCGGCAATGGATAGCATTGCAACAAATGAGGAGTAAAATGAAAAGGAAAGTTGACACTAAAGCCACAAAAGGTAGAAAGATAAAGTATGTAGTACATAATCAGTTAGTAAACTATATGGCTCCAGAGAAATCTACAACTTGGAACGAAGAAAGTACCAATGAATTGTATAGTTCTTTATTTGGTAAAATGTTTGAACAGAATAATGTAGGTGTAAATGACAATCTAAGCAATGTATTTAAATTAAATTAAACAATAATAAGTTGCTGTTTTTTTTGTCTGAAGGTTCTAAACATTATTTATTTTACTGTTATTTATGTATGAATAACAAGTCTGTAGATAGTGATTGCACATCACTTTATCAAATATCACCTTATAGTAGAGATAAAATTACTTGAATATTAGTTAGTTCTTTTATAGAAGACAACTCCACCATTTACCAAATTTAATAGTGATAATAACTCTAAACTTTTAGCTCTAAAATTTAAAAATAGAAGATTAAAATCAAATTTTAATTTTTTAAGCATTTAACTGGTAGATGATGGCTAGATGTTCAAATCTTGACATTGTGGGTTACCTATAATGCGAAGACATGGCGTTGCCGTGCTGCCTAAGAAATATTAGAAGAAATTCGGCACGGCCATTAAGGTCGCGGTAGCGTAATTGGTCAAGATCACTTTGTTGTACGTCAAGACCATTTATCTTGGGAACCCGTGTAGCAAATCTACGGTGTCTATACTCGCGGACACATCTATCGAGCCACTTAGAATTTTAAGGTTTGACCTAATAGCTTTGACGATCCCTAGCTAAAACAAATGTCACATTTAGTATAAAGTTTTTAAGCAGTTTTGAAGCGGATTTACCTAACCATATTTTGCAAGTGTTTTCAAAAATATATTAATATTGCTCAAACTAACTTCATTATATTTTTGCTACGGAACGTTAAAACTTATAACACTAAGTTGGCCGATAGATTTGTTCGGAAGTGTGCTTTAAAGTTGTGATCAAACCACACTTCTAAGCTAACGTAAAAAACGATACGGCCGTTTATGTTGCGTACAGTAAGGCATGCTAAGCCGTCAGTCCCGGCTGCATCTGCAGTCGTTAGCACCCACCAATCCGCACTGGGCCCGCGTGGTGCTACAAATTTGTACGGAACCCCCGGTAGACGAGGCCGGCTCGCACTTGTCCGTTTTTTTTACGTTTGAGGTACGGTTCCTACCCTAAAAACGGGTACATCAAAGACATTACAATGAGATCGAATATTCGGTTATTTAGAAGTCTATAAACCGCCATTATCTGTTTAAGCAGTTAGTCTCTCACTACGGGTCATTGGCAAAATTTCTGTGTGAAACGGATGGTCACAAACAAAAAAAAAACTCAAAATTGTCGGTATGTTTGCATAAAATAAACTTGCTTAGCAGTTTTTTGATTAAATTTAATGGGCGGAGGCCTTCCGGGATCAATGGCGATTACGCAATGGGCGTGTTTGACACGTGAGCGAGGTCTAGGTGTTATGATTTGATGTCGCTGGAATATACGGCGCAAGTTAATGGTGGAAATAACCGGTAAAATAATGGATTGAAATTAAAAAAACTTAGGTAAGGAATTATGGTTCTACTAGTGGCTGCCCGCGACTCCGTCCTTTTACTAGTTAACTTTAGTTTTTGGACAAAACCACGGAAGTCTAAAAATTTTCCGGGATAAAAAGTTATATCCTAATCTCAATCTAGGTCGTAAACTATATACGTACCAAATTTCATACACATCCATTGAGTAGTTTTTGCGTAATGGAGTAACAAACATACAAACCTCCCCCTTAAAAGATAATTTCTAGGATAAAGCTATTTTATGTCCTTTTCTGAGACCCAACCTATATCTACACCAAATTTCATCTAAATCGGTTCAGTTTAAGTGCGAAGAGGTAAATGACAGACAGACATTTTCGCATTTAAAATAATAAGTACTATTATGTTAGTAGGTTTTACTTTATCATTAATTTACAAATAGTAAATAAAAATAACCATGTTTTTAAGTAAAATGGGTGACAAACGAGCTTAATGCTCGTCAGACGGTAAGAGGCTGTTGGGAAGTAGGCGTGCACTTACAACAGTTTTAAAAAACGATTTTTTGTCTGTTATTTTCTGCGTCTTTCATGTCCTCGGGCGAGGCGACAAGGCGTAAAAATGAAGAATTTAAGATGCAATACATACACGTGTCTGTATTTTTTTACCACTTTCCTCGAGAAAGTTGCGGTTTTATTCAATCAAAATAATTCGAGTAAGTAGGTACAATACAATTACTCATATTATTATTTCTCTAATTGCGTGATGAAAAGAGCTTTGATTAGTCCAATAACTTTCTTTTCTCAACGGAAATCGCGAAATGTGCCTCAAATCGGATACAATTACCGTTTACTTGCTGAGCCCGTGACTTCATTCGGGTGGAATTATTATTTCTTTTTGTCGTTTCGCCAAATCAATAGGGATGATGACGGGATAAATTCTATTTAGTTCGTTAGTTACATTTAAAAAAATAATGGACACACTTTCTTCTTGTGTCGATCAACCAAAAAATTATAAAGTTACAGCGCGTCAATGCTTGGGAGTGGGGGCCCGTGACGTCACTTTTAAAGTAAACATTATACCAAGACGTGACGTCATGCGACGTTACTAATATCAACATGTCTCTGTAATGTTTTAATAACATGAGTAAGGAAAAGATACGTGACCAATCAAGCAGCAACTGTTCTTAATTAGGTATTAAAACACTAATGTGATACTATCATACTACATAAATCCACATTTATGTTTTAATATCCCTCATTATACAACAGTTGCATAAATAACTATTATAGGTACCTATTATTTGAAAACATATAGATATTCAGTAAAAATTTCAACTCTACTTACATCATTATACACTTACAGTTACTGGGATACAAACACCCCGCTGACAGAAAGACGGACGAATAATGGAGGCCTAGTGTTACTTTGGGTACCTTTTTTATTTCTCTTTTTTTTTGTTGACGGTGGAAAATCCATTTACGGACCATACCGCGCGCTTGCCAGTTCCTGTGCCCCAGCGGAGTGTTTCGCATTTATCTGTAGTATCTTCCCCGACGTCCTATAGGGCATTATTAACGGACATCTGTGCACTGCTGGGCCCTGCACAAGGTGCGGCGTGTGACGCGTCCCTGGGGGGTGCCCCTACATGAGGAGGGCGGCCCCTGACCAGCGGGGGGTTACATTTGGCTCCCACCATCCGGTGCCCGGCTGCCAGTCCTCTGTCCGCGCACACGTCGCGTCGCAGTGCGGCGGAGCAGAGCAGCCCTTGGCTTTGTGCCCCTCCTTGCCTCAGCGGTAGCACAACACGCTGCGGTCCTTTTTGGAGGAGCATTTGGCCCCTGGATGCCTGGGCGCCAGGCACCTATGGCACCTCATTAGGCGCCCTTCCAGGAGCCGGACCGTCGCCTCAAACCAACCGACCTGTAGCCGCCCTTCCTTCACAATATTGGCGACCGCCTCCACCGGTCATGAGACAATCGCCGAGTCCGCCCCTCTTGGACCGGAGGAAACTGCCCCCACTCTTATGGTCTCAGGGGGCAGCCGGCCTTTGATGCCAGGACCGCCTTCAGCTCATCAGGTTTCGTGGCATCATCCAGCTCCAACACACGGACCTCCGTCGTCTTAGTAGGCCTAGAGACCTTAGCCGACTCGCCTAGGGCCTCTCCCACTCTGGCCGCCAGTGTGTCAGCCTGAGCCTCCGTGGTCCCGGATGGGAGCTCGATGTTGCGAGCTCCTGTGATTGTCGTCCGGGACTTCGCTGGGCCAATGCCCAGCTCCCCCCAGTTAACAGACTGCCTGGCCTTGGCCAGGGCATCCTTATAAGTGGCCCCCCCGGCCATCGCCTCCGGTTTGAGGGCCACGACCACCGCCAGCGTTTTCGGTGGCTTCGCGACCTTAGCGGCCTTTTTCTTTTTAGGCCCTTGGGCCGCGGTGGGAGCTTGGGCCGGTGCGGGAGCCTTCTTCGGCTTCCCCCTCTTTCTCACTGTCATCCACTCTCCCTCAGCCACCGGTGGTGCACTCCCACTTGGAATCGGATAAGCCGCCGGCCTCTCTTTCCTCACAGGAGAAGGAGTAACCGCTGGAGTTGCAAGGCCCTTCTTCTTCTTTACCTTACTCTTGCCTTTGCCTTTTCCCTTGGCCTTCTCGGGCATGTTGGCGGGCGGGGCAAAGGTGGTACGGGCATTCGCACCACCCCCAACCGGCCGCGCAATCGTCGGCGGCTTCTGCGCTGTGGTCATTGTATCCGCAGCCAAGGGCGGGCGGCGCGGTCTCTCAGAGGTGGGCAGCAGCCGGCGATCAAACTCCAGGCCCTCCAACCTGGCCTGGAGCATTCCCTTTGGGTACCTACGGATTATGGTACACTAGAAATACGATTGTAAACCTAAACATTCTTTCCAATTTACAAATTCCAATGCGTTTAATACTATTTTTCAAATCATCATATCGTTCTTATTAGGCCCACTTGCACCAAAGATGTTAAATCAAATTTAAATGCTTCATTCTATGTCTATTTGCTTTAAACACTAGCTGGAGACGGTGTGTTAAAGGGGATTAAGCCTTTGGATTAAGAATTTTGGGAAAAGTTGACCTATAACTCGTCAAAAAGTTCCGTTCCGTAACAAACTTCGTAGCACCAATCAAAACGTTACGGAGACTACGAAAAAAGGGCTTAGCTACGACAACTTGAGATTCCACGAATCAGCACTGACCCGTGGAAACTGCCTTGTCACGTGTTTCGCAAAAATGTGTCAAGATTAAACATTTTTCCTTATTTGTACCTTTCACAAACCGTTTTATCAGATTTATGTCAGATAGATTACCACAAAGTGTTAAAAGTGACTTCCTTGTTTACTCTTTTGTAAAAATGATTACTCACTCTCTTGGATTTCAGCACTCATTTGTAAGCACACTGTCCTTCACCGTTATTTGCGAACAAAGCATAGGTGTTACTAGTGCGATACATATACGGAATTTAGTAACCCTAGCGCTGCTTAGGTGTAAGTTCTTTCTTCGTCAATTCTCGTTCAAATTTCTATGTGACTAAACTTTAACATGAACATTCCAAAAAGTAGTCTCGCCTTGCCCTCACCAGAATTTCTTTTGTTTTGGTGTCTTCGCTCATCAATCATGAACGTTAGTTGACTGAATTCATTTCAGCCAGATTAATAGATTTAAAAAGAGGGTTAAGACAAACC